TTCGTATTGGCTATATGTGGCTTACTCCCGTCGTTCCATCACTCGTTCTGCCATGTTTTAAGTTGTCCGCATCTGGGATATATGCGGTAAGCTCTACTGTTGCATGAGAATAACATGCACTTTCATTGATCCTAGCGGCTCTATCGAATGGCTATAAAGTTATGGCTCTCGTCTAAAGCGTATTCAAGCCCCAGTGCGGAGTCGCATATTCGTCATCTTTGGACGCCTAATCGAGAAATACTATAAATATTCTTGGAAAAACAAGGATGGAGACAGATAGACAGAAAGAGAAGAGACAGAAAAATAAATTTGCCTCGATAATGCATCCGGCAAGAAGTTAGTTAGCGTTTGATAAATAAGTAAAGGAAATTTTCTAAATAAGCTCACTCTTAATTTAGTAGGCTAGCGGTTGTTGGTTCAGTAGCTCTCCTCATGAACTTCAGGTCTACCAATGCAACACGTATAACATGTAGTACACACAGGTAGTGGAAACATTTAGCTAAATTAGCTATATGAATTGCATCTCACAAACCTAGAAAAACTGGCCACAGGTCAAGACAAAACAGTTTGAAAAGAGTCTCTTGGTAGTTGGAGACTCATTATGTTTAGTTAGCAGGAAAAGCAGTACAAGGGCAAGTTAAATTCCAACGCCGTTGCCATTTCCCCATGACAATGTGTTCTAGGCAGAAGGCAATTAATTATTGCCGATCATGTAATCCCATTTCTTGAGTATCTAACAAGTGTATGTTTGGCTATATCTGCGACCGAATACATCAGTTTCTTTTAGATTTGATACTGACAGCTTTTCGAAGCAAGCGCAACAGTAGATCTCTCGCTTGTCAAGGAACGCTTACTTTTAGATACAGCTCTTTGTCGAACACGCCATATATACCGTATTTAACAACGTGCCACGTACGCGTATTTAACGACGTTCAAAATATATTGGTAACTGTTCGAGAGAGAAGTAGTAAAGGTACGCTGTCTATAAAAACTATTGCATCTAGAGCTGAGAAGATCCAGTGACGCCACATACAACAAGCATCAAGCGTTGCTCGGCGGTTATCAAATGGAGTATACGTCCATTACTTCTTCTATAGAAACACTAAAGTGTGTGACAGTGTTCTTAGCTTAGCAAAAACGAAATAAACAATGTTACAGTATCGACCTCTGGTCGAAAGGCCTCTGTTCGCCATTTTGTAATTCCCTACTTCAGACAAACGCTTGCCATGATCCTGGCCTTTTTTCGCTCACTACATGGAGGCAGATTTATTGCATAAGGCCTCATAAAGCCTTATGAGAATTAGCAGTCTGTTCCGTAAGTAGTACAGATAAGACACTTTCTGCTGATTAGCTACTCTCGCTGCTCTGCGTTGTATTGTAGATTTAGATCCACCCACTCGTTCGCGCTCTGACTAGTGATTGATAGAAGTGGATTTTCCGACAATACTGGTAGACGGAAATGATCGAATAGACTCAGCAGTTTATGTAGCTATTGAAACATACATTATGATATCGTATTATAGGGCCATCCCGGGGCGACTTCCTGTTACAAACGTCTCGCATAGTTAAATTTGCCTTTTGTTGCAGGAGCATTCATATCTGCTGCCGCTTCAACAGATATGAAATGACGATTCTAATTATGAATATACTCATTTTTAACCTATTTACGCTATGGCGTAACCTTTTATATTACGTTAGTATGAGTTAGAATAATGCAAGCGGTGTCTATGCTACGTATCTACGCTTCTTCCACTTTAAGGCCATGCAACCTAGCAAAAGTTTACGAAAAAGCGCTACGCAGATATTAAACAGCAGCCCTCAAGACGAAAGGGCATGTCCAACGCCTTCTATGTATTGTATATACAAAGATGCTATTATGGAAGCAGGTCTAGTCAAACAATACTACACATCAACGCAAATCCTAATGATGTTTATTGCTTTAAAAACCTCTTTTTAACTCACTTGGACCCCCAGAATCCCGACTACCTGATAGGTACTGTCAACTGTGAGTCTTCTGAAACCAAGCAAAATTTGAAACAACAAGGCGGATATAATCAATTAAATTTTACTAGTAAAACAAAACCTAAATGGTCTTATATAAGATATGGAAAGTTCAGGTAGACGTAAATCTTATTTATCAGGATCAGGGTCAGCGAGGCAGCCATTTTGTTGAGTTCCTTCTATGAAAAGTGTGCCCCGACGATGGCTGAGACAGCAGCGAGGTTCATATCGTAAGGTAGATTCACTACATTTTTTGACGTACACTTCTTATAAAGGAAGAGAATGCTGAAAAACCCGTTAAGCTGGATAGTAACCTAAAAACTCGTAGAGGTGCAGCTCTAAATGACACGAAATCTAATGAGCATCATTTGGATCATCTGGTCCGTAGAAGCATGCAACAAGGATGCATCATAACACTAGATGTTCCTTTTAGAGGAGCAAGAATGCTACCAATGGAAGGCTGGGTTCTTCATTACAACTCATGGCGCCTGTAGTAATGTCCTAAGAGTCTGACTAAGGGTCGGTCGAGGAAAAATCATTATTATCAGCAACATGTTATTCGTTTGTTTATGTAAAACTGATTCGTTTTCATAGATAACAACCCGCAAAGTAGATTTTAAATCGAATATCGAAGCTTTTCAAAACTAGCGTTTGCAAACAATATCTATTGCCGAAAATAGTCGGTGAATAATCCTCTGTATTTCCACTGCTTCGTCACTGTCAAAGACTTGACTATTTCCATTGGCCTTCACAACAATCTCCTTTTAAAATTGCCTCCACGTAGGTTAACCTTCAAAATGAACGTCGCATAATTATGGTTGCCATTTTCAGGCTGAGTTTCAGATCAATTTCAGGTGTCGAGTACGCTACCATTACTCTTTCGAAAGCATCGACGATCATTTTCTCAATTACAAAAATACCCCAAGAAATATGAGGGCTTTAATACCCGGGTTGAAGTGGTAATTATTGTGCCCTCAAACTAAATATTAAGGCTTGGATGCTCACTACTATAGCGCCATCTATCGCTAAAGTATCAATCTGAAATTGTGACAACTAGACATTTGTTGAATATTACCAAAGGCAATATTCATATTTTTTTTTAAGTCGCCTTAGTGGCATAATATTTTTAGTACTATGCCACTTAGGCGACTGCCCCAGTGTTCTTAAAATCTCGCAGAGAAGCCAAAAAAATATTCAACGGTTCTTTTTAACTAAAATGGGGAATAATTTAGAATATTTTATGTCGAAAAAGGTAGAGTTTATAAACCTAAATTTACTTAATGCTATCGTTGCAATCAACCGGTGCTATGGGAGAGAATAAAATATACTAGTATTTTTGCCAAAGACAAAAAATATGAATTAAAAATATGTACGTCATTGGCACAAGGTGATGTTATTTGGGACTCTGACTAGGATTAAAGAAGCCTATGCTGTACGGTTATTTACTGCTAAGTTGGGCACGTTAAAGGTTTGCTTATAGTAGGCCCACATGTTAGAGTGCCGGCTTTTGAATGGGGCAAGTACGGACCTAACCATGAGTTGCATTTTGTTTGAGGAAAACGAGGGGGATGCACGCACCCTTCTCCAAAGCCAATTTCATTTCGCTGAAACCTATATAACTGTCGTGGTTATGCATAACTCTGATATTAATATCCATGCTGTCAAATGTGATAACGATTATCCGTCATGTAATATATATGTTGACATTTTTATTTTGTGCCAATTAAGTCGTCACAATGACGACACATGGTACAACGAGGGCAAGTCGATGATCCCGTAGTTCAAGTTTGCATTTGGGTATACAATATCCTTTTCTAATATGTTGTCTAATTACTCAATCGTCTTTAAGAAAATATGAGTTGAAGACACTCCTCTCGTTTACGTTCTATTTAGTCGTCTGACGATACCAAACGTAAAACTCAAAGCGCAGAAAGTTGAAGACACTTGCACACGCAGAAGTATATGGTAAAATTATATGGAAAAAAAAACAGTGTTTCGGAAGCAATAACAAATGAGAAATTTACGAATTGCGAATTTACGAACGGAGAAACCCTAGAATCATTAGTTGCGAAGTAAACAACGTTTGCGATAGCAATGGCGTAAAAGCCCGCCCACATTTTAAATTAATTTTTATCTTTTAAGACGGATTGTTAAGCCACTTTAATTAAATTAATACAGTCAATTATTCTTAAATTAACACAGTATAACAAAAATTACTTTTATTGATTAAACAAAATAGGGACTTTGTATGATATATAAAAGTGTACGTATCAATAAGGCCCAGCTGCTAGTACAATTTGCAGTAAAGTTACATAAAACATAGGTTAAACACAAACAAATAGCTTGATCCATTGAAAAAGACTGCACTATCTTTATTTTTCTTCATCTCGTATTGCCCATATCGAGCACCTGGCCAAGTAGACCTCTACCTGCCTTACCTCTTAAGCCCAGCAGTACAGCGTATCTAAATTTTGACCGAGTTCACCAAGGAATTGTCCTAGATGACGTCCTCTCATTCGACTTGTAGAACCAATTGTCTTTAAGTTAAACGGGATTTCGTTAGCCAGACGGTTTTCAGTCCAATTAATTAGGTATATTTATCATTAAAGCGTATTTCGTCTAGTGACTTATTGCGAACGTTGGTGTTAGGGAATCATTGATAGCCCCTTGTGCGCTTCCGGCCGTCTTGCACAGAAATTCGTAGCCAGGTCGTCAGAGCCGGGGGTATGAGAGATATACAACGAAGTCAGATTACGTCAGATATTTGAAATCAACTTGGTGGGTTTGCATGGTACGAATGAAAGGGGTTGCGAAGCCTTGTTCATCCACACTGTTCTGCCCCTACATTGAGCCTGGCTGCAAAAGCACGCCCAGCGCCCCAGTAGAGATCAAAAATGCTATAAGCATAGCCAGTCGTAGCTAGCTTATCACAGCACCCCATTATATACTCTAGGTATATACCCATATAGCTCTAGTAAGCTACTGAACACTGCTTGCAGGCGAAACTCCAGTATTCCATGCAATCACACAACAGGAAGCAGAGCGGAAAAAACAAGGTCAGTTGTGGGAGCTAAGATGCTGTCAGGCTCCGATCGGACGACGAGTTACGGGTGCACCCTTCATGTATGTCGCGGTTTAAAAGACATTGTTATCAAAAAAGACTAATTAAAATGTTCGGAACATTTTTTAAATCGGCAAAGGCTGAATAGAAAATAGCTAATGTAGAATAACTCTGGTTAATTCTGATTCAAGACCGCTTTCTCCGTGCTATGTTCCTACATTCAACAAACTTGCTTGTAACTATTAAATGTAGCTTGAATACGATACTTTTCTGAAGTTTCAAACCAGATCAGGTACATAATTGAAGATTTCCATTCATATAATTAAGCGATGTAAATAGAAAAGTACGTTCGTTCGGATATAGGCTTTTAAAGGGAAATGTCGGAAACCGGCAAAGAAAGATTAAAAAATGTCGATAGAAACTGTGTTACACTGACTTTACATGGGTTAAGAGGGTACAAAAAAGAGTTGTCTACCTACTGCTATCGAATAGATCACCTCATCTGGTTTACTTCGCTCGCTTGATTCTGACTTCAATAATTATGATGACGTAGAAGTGTTCTGATCGCAGTATATAGCATTAATGCGATTCATGTTTCATCTGATCTAGGTCTCGCGTATCCTGCCCGCACGGTAATTTGCCTATGTAGTCATACCTGCGAACGGTGCTGTGTGTGAAGGGAGAAGAAAAATCAAGGAAATTTTGGATTAAGCCAGGAAGTCTGCCTGAAGGTGATGCCCAGAACCGGTGGACAGTGACGCCCTCAGTGGTGGCTTTAGGAACTGGGTGGCTTGCATCGAGACCATATGGCGCAGTTGATAATAGGCGGACGAGCAGCTGTCATGTGCGCGACTAGGGTCTCTGATCTCGTTCCGAGGCAACCTTGCTGAAATAATTCAACGTGTTTTCAGTGTAAGTGAGAAACTGACTCGCAAGCGACGAACCGCACTATGGATTTTTCGAGGCGTCAATGAGACGATTGTTATAAGATTGTGACAAGCTGGCACCCTCAAAATTCGAAGCCTATCATTCGATCGCGGATACGTGGCCACAATCAACTCATATGAGCGTGCTTTAGTCGGTAGTTGTCAATAGGTATGGAAAAATTTATAGATGATACTGCTTAGTACCGCTGCATGAAGTGCACTGGTTGTGATCCCTAGCCGATAGTAATAGCTAATTGTGAGGATGATAAAAACAACATTCGAATAGCTACAATCCTAATTTTATAAAAAAAAAAAAAAAAAAGCCTACTTTTGTATTTTAATATATGTTTCGGAATCAAGATATTCCTCAAAAAAAAGGTGATCACATGTGAACGGGACGATCAATCAAATCACGGTACCGTCCGTGAATGTTGTTTATTTGTCTACTAACCGCGTGATCAAGCCTCCTGTTGCCGGAATGGACCGACGTTCGGCACCGGAAGCTGAAAGACTCCTTGGAGGCGGACTTAGCGATGACGATGAAAATTTGCTTGATGGCGAAAGGCCGGATACGCAGGAAGACTCTCGGGCTAGACCCAAACAGGATAATAACTATTCAAATAGGAAGCTTCGCAAGTAAGTATGAATCAATTTTTCTACAAACCGTTGTAAACCTATATCTGACGTAATCTCGGGATGTTCGACGAGTACTATTTTGCATGGTCAGTGAGCTTGTGCCTTCAACATCTTTTAAAAACTGTCACGCTTGGGCTGGCTGATAAAAGATAAAACGTAATGAACAGACTAGCATGAGTTGTTCTAACGAGGATTGTAACTGGAGACTCCGGATACACCATATACACATATCATTATTATTGGACATAATTACCTTGACCTGGCAAGTTCTTCGCTTAGTAAATGTTTACCAGAGTATTCTATACCTAGATATTGTGATGCTGGCCTTATTGCAGAATTATGTGATAACATTCAATTAACTAACTTGCTGCGTAAAATTTCCGTACGTAGATCTACCCAGACGATCAAACACTACCTTTCAAATTTACGCGAAGCTTGCACGCTGTTACTGGTCAATGGCATTCAATCAAATTCTTTTTTCTCTTCGTATGCTAAGGATTTAATCGCCTATATGTAAGGCTTTTAACCAACCACGTTCATAGCAGTATTATCTTCATGAAATAATAACGTAATACTTGTCCCTTGGGATCAATTAGTGAAAGTACCTCCAAAAACTTGAGAATACTAACCCTGCATGAAAAGCGGCCATATGAGAACCTTGACGATTTTAGTAACGTTAGCTTTCGCAGTTGTCGGCTACAGGCCAATATAGTATTATTTGGCTTCCTTTACTTTCCCAGCTCTGCGTACTACACGTTGTTAAACGTAAATCACAGAAGCGATGATTCTACATCTATAGTAATAAAGGTTCTTCATCGGTATTTTCCTTCGGTGTCCAGAGATGTAAGTTGCATAGAAATAACAGTATTCGATCGATCAACATCAGTAGGGTTGTTTAACTAGATAATTACTATATATCGTTTATTACTACATTTTGGTTTACGCTCAAAACTAAACACAGCTGCTTACGGGATATTGATTCACTCTTATATTTTACTTTATTTTATACTCATAGATGATTGCAAGACGGGCATAACTACGATGGAAGACCCAGTCACATCGGCTTGTTTGTAGCAGATGGGTAAATATTTAAATTAGAGAAATATTCAAAAGTATTTTTTCGTTTCAACATAAGCAGGGTTCAGTTCGAGGTGGAACAAGTCCAGGGTATTATGCGAGACAACGTTGAGAAGATGTTAGACCGTGGGGAGCGGGTTGTAGAGCTGGCAGACAAGAGCGATAGCCTCAATAACCAAGCTGACTCATTCCTGCAGGTAGGCCCTCTCGGCGCATACTGGTACTCGATTATAATCGGTTGCATTAATATATGCTATCTATTGGCTCTTTGCGTAAATGATCAACCTAATCAAATAATAATAAACAACAATGAAATACCTATATATAAGCTATAAGTTTCTAAGCTGTAGGTTTGAGCTATAAGTTCAAAGCAATACCATCTACACAACTTCCGTTTGCTTTTAGCGCACTTTTCTTTATTTAGGTTTTACTATTTGGGACTCATCCTTCTTTAGTAAGTAATAATTACTGTAACTTCAGTCTTTGCATTTGATTTTGTGTTAATTAAAGATTAACGTGCATTTTTATTATTGTAGGCGAGCAAACGCATGCAAAAGCGTCTTTGGTGGCGGCAGTACAAACTGCGTCTCCTAATCGGGATAACCTTAATAACTGTTCTCCTAATTATTGGTAAGCATCATATATAAAAACATTTCTAATGGCTGTTTTCAGATGCTAGCTTAAATTTAATCTCGGCAGAAGGTGCGTTCATTAGACATAAGCAGATAAACGTGTAGAATTAAAAGGTCTTACGTTAACGTTACGTGTTGTCGTTGTAGTTACTGCGACAGAAAAAAACGAAATCACATTAGGTTTATGGTATCAGCTTGTAACTGCTTCCCTAAGAAATTACCGTTCTATAATGACTGTTTTTATTTTCAGTTGTTAAGATGCTCTGGTCTTGAGCAATGCTCGACCTCCATCCTCGGAAGGTGATCGATGTAGGTAGGCTAGTCCGAAAGTTGAATCGTATCGGGGCGATGAAAGCTACGGAATTTGTCGAATTATATTGTACTGTTAATATATAATTTCTACTGCGTTCTATTCACGCCGCACGCTAACGACGCACGTGATACAAACCAAGTGTTGTATAGTAATATCCGAATGTAATGGACAGAAATAAAATGTTATTCTGTTAAAAGTGTATTCACTATGTAATAATTATATTACTAGTAAACGACAAGGCGTCTTATAGTTTGCATTGGCATACGACATTAACCTGGCGGGGTCCATGCATATACCTTAGCGAAAATCTCACTTTTGAAATTGAGTCATGAAAATATCCAGCGCGGTTTAACATAGTTGGCATCTGTTCATTACATCGATTAATACTGATTCTGTGCTACAAAACGTTGTTTCTGAAAGCTCTTATCGGTACATCCGCGCTTTAAATTATCGTGCCCCATCCGTAGCTACCCAACTTGCCCGTTAAATTACTTATCTTCCCTTCTGATAAAATAAATAAACAAGTTAAAAAAGTATAGTTCGCGGTAGGTTGATGAATAACTACTTGCCGTGTTACAGTAGCCAGCAAGCAAAATGAAAACAAAATCAACACACGCATTCTGTCACTCCCTAATTTTCTCTCGTTACTCCACATTAAGTCTAACAGTAACTCTGGCTAACCCTTTGGGCAAATAAGTGTTCGAAGTTGAAGTTAGATGCGCTCCACTACAACCAACATCAGGTTAGCAACATTTTCAGCACTGAACGACGTACTTAGTCTGGTCCCCACACAGCGGCTCTAAAGCCTGACATTTTACTGATCGTTGGCGAACACGTACCAACTATTAATTAAACGAAATACAGTTCTAATTAATTTTGGGTTGTTTTATTTATTATACTTTCACCAGTCCGCTCAGTTGCTTCGCCTGGCAGACTGTTCTCCTCTGGCAGACAAAATCTCACTTCGGTTTCAGTGTATGACCTGTACCGGTAAACATCGATGATTTGCTCTGATCTTCGGATGATCCTTTTCTTTTTTTATCATCTGTTTTTGGTGTCGAATCTTTTTTCGGTCTCTCTCGTATGCGGATCATTTTTATAACTCCAAGCCGCCATCTGAAAGCGCACATTTCCGTAGCTTTTTGAAAAATTCGACTTTTTAAGAATATTAAATCACCTGAAGCGTAGATATACATATGCACCTAAACGGACTGATAAAACATATCCAGCTGAGAGTTCGGCTGGCACAAATTACAAAATGAGTTTTACGGTGAAGCAACACGACATGATTGCGTCCAATTTAAATTGGACGACTAAGCAGAACTATACGAAGTCACCGTATTTAAAATAGATTGAAAAAAGTAATGTGGAATGAAAACGATAGGGAAAAGTTCTAACGTGTAATCAGGAACTCCACGAGTGCGAATTGATACTTTCGCTTGATGCTGTTGTGGTTGCTGCGTATTTTGCGCTTCTGGGGAATTTGCGTTTGCCATTTGCGCCTCAGTTACTGATTTGGTGATTGTTTTTGTTGTCGTATCATCCATCGCTAAATCCGATAATCGTGAAGTCGTTAGATTTAGCTTCGACTTGGCCTCTTTTCCATCGATGCGTTTCCCTTGGCCAGAAAAAGCTTTAAACGTTTTATCCTTGATGACAACATTGGGTTGCTTGAAATCATCTTGGTAACCGTCTACCTCCACACTCGTGCCTTGCTTTTTAGGAGGTTCCTTGTATCCGACGGGAGCAGCGAACTCCACTTGAAGATCACAATCTACAATTGAGATCGCCTCTGCTGGCTTTGTTTCTAACACGCAAACCTCGTACTCACTGTGATAAACCCAATAAGATGATAAAACGTCACACATTCTGTCAGACTGGTTATTTTTTTATAAATACATAAAATTTCTGTTATCTTATATATTGTTATTAAGACAAAGGAGAACAGTAGAGCACGACCAGTAATGTATGTAGATGCTAGAAAGTTTTACAATTTGATCGGACAACTTCTTTAGTTTCCGAACTTGACCGTTAATGCTAAATAAATACTTACTGATTATTGTACTCAATGGCAATGACATCTCCGGCCGACAGGCACGCAAAATTTCGAAGTTGTCTCTCAAGCACAGCTCGAGGATCCGAAATGTCAAGGAAGTCAACAGATTGGGGTTGGAAACGCGCGAAAGTTCCGATTGGAAGTTGCACAGATACCATCTATAATGAATACATTGCTTTGCATAAATAGATGTTTGCCTATGCCTCATAGAAAGCTATATCGGAATATCTAAACCCAAACAACCTATTTCATTAAACGGATAAGTGAGCAGTGGTATATATGTGGTCGCTGCGGATACTGCGTGAAGTTATACCACCAACCTCGATTAGATCGCCCTCGTAGAGAAGCAATAACCTCATCAGCCAGAAAGGAAGCAGACAGCGGCCTTCCTCCGCTGAGAACTCTAGTACACCACAATGAGATTCGCGATGGAGTCGCACATTTCGAATCTAGTATGAGAAAGAAGTAATAAATGGTTAAATATAAGCTAGACGTATAATAGGCCACCTGAATGATATATGCTATGCTTTACAGCAGGCTTGAATGATTTTACTATTGAGGATTTAGTACATAATATTTGAAGCGTCATTACGATGATCAATATATATCGCTGGTGAAATCTGCATGTCATACCGCTTTGTTCATGTCCCTGAGACATGTGGACGGGTTCTTACCTTAAACATCATTGGATATGTTGCAGAAAATAGCGTCAATTTCCGGAGAGCTGATGCAGGCATGATCACTATAAGCAACAGTAAAGGTCTGATCCTTAAAAAATATTTTTTAATTCTATAGCTAACCGGAGATACACGTTAACGACTTGCGAACTCCAACAACGTTTATGACAGTAAACAGACTAGTTACTCAAGTCATATAGCTTAAACGCAATAATTTCAAAGCAGACCTGTAAGTGCATCAAACAATGATTTATTCATCTGTTTATTTGTTAGTTTTGCTACTCGATCCAGCTGTTAACTCATTTCGGTAAAAACCTCTGCAGCTATTTGTAAATAAACTACTAATCAAAATAATAATATGAATCCTTCAACACAACACACGAGCGCGCGATGCAAGGTGTGCAATCAATATGACTGCCCCAGCACAGAATACGTAAAATACAATGTCAAAAGCAAAATAACCTGCCATAATCCTCGGCCGTACCTTTATTTCCTCTTTCAACGTCGATTCTTTCCCTGCCGCTAAGGATGGCAATCGAAAATGCTCGGTAGGTTGACGAAAAGCAACGATGATTGAATCGGCCGACAGCTGTCGATGAGCTAGCGTTAGTCATGGTAGCGTCGATCATGACAAGACCTCAAATTTACAAAAAAATAATGTAGCACAATAACAACAAGAAGTTATAAGGTTATTTATATAGAACATTTTAATGAAAGTATTAACCAAGTATACGCATAGCTAAATCTTAAGTTAAAATGTAAGATAGGCAACTAAGACCGATGGGCGCTTAAGTGTCGATACTAAACAACGTATTAAATATTAATAAATAATACAGCAATACGTATGTACACTTAAATTTAAGCGTTTAATAAAAACCTGAACAACTAATTATTTATTATTTCATTATTTGCAAGTAAATAATCAATTAATGTATTTTCTTTGAACGCTCTATCGTTCTCCAAATATTAAGTATACAGCGAATTAAAAAAAAAAGTTAAAAACCTCTTAGAGCTGTAACTGCACTTTTTCATAGAGGAATAAGTTTTCCGTAAGTTAAGCAAATAATTTCGAAGTTATATGTTGGTTGCTTAAGGAGATTTGTCTTAACAAAATGTGTGTTCTGTACAAACTGAACGATTAGAGTATGATATTTACAGAACACCAAAAGGCGTGTGGACCTTTATTTAGACAGAGGAAAAATTTTTACCGCTGAAAACTTCGACAGCATACAAGAGCAGGAAAACCGGTTACTCCAGAACAAGTGTCGGTGCTGCTTAACGTAACCTTTTTAGCTAACTGAAGTTTATAGTTCAATATGGATTCTAACATTTTACTAGAAACGCAATGACATGACATATGGACCACACACTAAGACACATTATGCTACGGACGTACACGGATCACTAACCGTATTGCGAACAAAATTTTTGAGACAAACAAAATGCCATTACTAAAATTGAAAGTCAGATCTTTATAAAGGTGTAAACATTTGAAAATCAAACCTCCGTTGTCTTGATTGGTTGATTAACGTTTTAACAAAAGCATTATTGCAACGGTACCTCGTTTATTTCATTAACAGAAGAATGTCTCCAACTCTTTATTGTCAACGAAATACACCGACTGGAGCGTCGCAAGTGTCCAAAATCTAGCTTGCTAGTTATGCCGCTCGGAAACAAGAACTTGGACTTCTGTCTTTTGCCTGCTAGTACCAAAGTGGAGGATGCAGGAAATACTCGCAACTTTACCACTAAAGAGGAATGTCACCTTAGTCACTCACGATCGAATAGTTTACTTTTGTATCGTAGACACAATAATTTCCCAGGGCAGCAACGAAGTTGGTACTATTACAAGAACTTATAGGAAATATTTGGTCAACCATTTGATGCAAAGAAATATAAAAAGTAATCACATTTGTGCGGCTTATGTCAAATCGCGAATTTACAATGGCAGTGTTGAAGAAAGCCCAGTTAATCATGCACACAAGTTCTAAGCAAAATGACTCACTACATATTGAACAAAGATGTTTTATAAAATTCATAATAAAAAACATATGCCCTAAGGTTATTCAGATTATTTTGAATCTTGTTTCTAGCGTCGTAGGCTATTTTTTTTTTAAAGGCGAGCGCTGATATATGCTTGACAGACCGTAGGTAGAAAAAACCTAGCGGACGACATTAGGTTTCGGTAAGCTATAAAGTTGGGTAAACAACAGAGTTCGACTCTTTTCTTAATTTATGCATATTGAAGTAAAACTTTTAAATTTGGAGTTTGACATCTGTCCGAGTATAGTCAAGACGGGACCAAAACTAGCCAATTACACAAAAAAAGAAAATGTGTTTATATTTCGTAGACTGCAAATTGTTTGCAAATCCCCGCGGTATATACGATGTGTGTACCCTGCGTGTTTTTCACATATGAGCTTGAAGCTAACGAGCTTCTTGAACGTTTAACTACGATCAAATATAAAATGTGTTTACAATTCAGACATCGATAGCTCAAACTGCCCTGTCTACTGAAGTGTTGTTCTTTGCTGCGTTCAATAAACGATGTCATTGGTTTATTGACTACATTTGTTAACAGGAGCGAGGTGCTATGGTGTTTAATATTGAGCACAAGTGACAACACCAGTTGATTCCATTGGCAGTTTCCAAAGGTTTTATTTTCACACTTCATTGATTGAAAATGGTATTGCAATAATAAAGAATCCTATGCAAAACATGTCGTATTCTACTTACGTATTAGAATGTCATTTAAATTTTGCTGTCCGTAAATTTCGAACATCCAGCAACAACAAGAAATTGTTATCCTAACGATAATTCTTAGAAGTCTTGCAATTATTAAATATCCATCAACGCACAGATCTATGTTAACAGTATGATTTCACAATTAACTACAAGGGTGCTTGGACTAATACCTATCGTTATTAAATAATCGTACGATTACCTAAACATTTGCATGTATATAAATATATATAACCTTTATTAATAATATTATAACCTTCGTACAGAAGAACGTTTGCCTTAAAAATCGTCTTAATAATAGTAACTATTATGATTAACATTGTTATTGTTCTATAACGTTCGATAAGTCGTAGAGGCAGGGAGCCCGTACCACTTATTGTGTATAGATAAACGTAATTATAATGTAATGAATAGAACACATGAAAATCCTCCGCGTAAGCATCTCAAATCACAAAATAACATTGTCGAAACAATCAAACAGCGTTTCTAAGGTGAAAGTCTGTCTAGCCAAGTGCGGACATCTGCGACGTTTCCAAACATTTGGAGATCATTGAGAAAATGGGGTTTCTAAGGGGCTAGCGTAAGCAATTCTAATATAGTGTTTATTACTTAGTTTTCTTTTGTACCCAGTTGGAAGTTCTCTAGAGACTTCTCTATACACATTTACGTGCTTCTTGAACTGCACGCGTACTTTCATTCATTAACTAAAGTTGATTATGAATATTGTTACAGTGAACTTACGAATTTTTATGATACACATCTACAAGATTACGGTTTGATCTGCAAGAAGTGCATTAACTTTTCTTCTTAGAAAAGGATATTTATCATTTAACGGTAGCTGTAGATGTTACACATGTATCTTCTGTAATTGAGTTTGCTTCTTCTTTCCTATTTTAGAGCTCAATGTTTTGATATATAAAATATACTAAAATTTCTGTTTTATACGTACCCTGTCAAATCGCAAGATTGGTTGCAGATGAAAAACTTTGTTCGGCTTACTTGGTTTTAGCTTATTTTAGGACGACAAATCCTGTACGTGTATTAAGTAGAATCGAAGAAGGTAATGTTAGCCTGAAAACTTTATTAGGCACTGTTTCTCGTCAACAGCATTACATGGTATAACGTAACGCCGTAATTGCGATTTCTTTAATCATCCTAGTGAAATTTTTGTTTCGCTGTTGCTGGTTGTTGTAGTATTCATCTCGAGTTAGTCCGAAGGAATGCTTAGTTCGATCATGGAACGAGCAAAAATTACCGAACAAGAAACCTAAAAGAGAAAGTAGTAACCAAAGTTGCTTCTTCAGAAAGCCGTCACATTATAATAGCTATCTTATGGCGTCCCATCGCAGCGTTGCATACGTTCCTGCATGATATAGCTCGGTTGTATTGCAAAAACAAATGTACTCGACAACGTGCGACAAATTGCACACGCCGATATGAATAATACAGTAAGTAATATTTATTTCATAGTAATACTGTTAATAACGGTGCATTAGCTACTTAGATTCAGCTAAGTAAATGGAGTGCCACTCTGCGTCAACTCGACACCAAAAAATGAGAACATCCGTTTGGTGTAACTTTTTTCGCAGAAATATATATTTCTTTGTTTGTATTTGCCTTTCAAGGTTACGACTTCGCCGTGGAAGGACCTCGTACGAAATGCATATATGTTTGGACAACGACAAGTTATATTACGACAGACAAATATATCAATTCGCAATATAGCCGATACGGGTCGGCATGGCCGAGCGAGCCCACTTCGTTAACAAGTGGTCGACGAGTCCTTTTAAGTCGAAGCGCTTAGAAATACATATTTCCACGATCGATTTTCGATGTCCGAAGTAAATGCTGGCTGTACTGTCTCGCCTGCTCGATCGGCTTCTTGATCAATTTTCGTAGCCGTTCAATACCCAAACATGGTTCGAGTTTTGTGACCGTGTCACTGTCCAAAGACTCGTAATATTGCGCAACCAAACAAGCCCGGAAACCCCGTACCTGAGGGTGAACAAATGTATCAATCTTAGGCTATCGTGTCAATAGACAATCAACAGACATATGGTGAAGCGTAAGTTACAGTTCGCAAACAAATCACATGCTTAACTCACTGGAGTATGAAATGATCTTGCTTAATTCATGCGCTTAAAGTTGGACTTACACTGTTAACAGAAAGACTAAGCCTTCTGTCGGTAGACTATAGGTAAAAGGCTTTTCCGTAGGTTTCACGATCCAAAACAGAAAAAGTAATGTAACAACCCACCGTTGGAACACTATGTTGAATCAATAGATTGATCAAAAATTTATGAAGTCCACAATCGATTACCCATTATTTTAGTAGTCGCAAAAAATTTCCGAAAATAACAAACCTCGCATTCGGTAAGGAGTGCAGCGCCTAGTCCTGAAAGTGTGTTTGGGGTCTCCAGAGTCATGATGCCGCCCACTTCGCCTTCCGTCACCGTCTTCAGTTGCCTGCAACCATAAAAAGCCAGAACAAAACCGGAATATTATGTTGTCTATGTGACCACGTTTCTTCATAATAGCTGCATCGTATTAAATGTATGCGTGGTATACGAACAGCAAATGCACATAGCGGTACTCCACAGATATGTAATAGAAATAATTCGCAATACATATGTGGATTATTTAACACACTTAATATAATGTGAATAAAAAAAGTAACGTACCTAAGTATGGGAAAACGAATTTCTGACGTCAACCCTGTTTTATAATAGCTGTAATGTAGAGCGGTAATAATAAGGCACTCGAGCGAAGAACTCTTTGACAAATCGACAAAATATGAAGCGATTTCAGCGGCGGACTCATTTGGTACCTGCAAATAAAGGTTGATAGCATGTCCTATTCACTTACATACTAATACCTCCACATCTTTATCCTAATTATACCACTAGTTAACTAACACAAGGCGAAAAAATCGAATAGCGATGCAAATGGACAGCTTGCTAAGCAACTGCTATTGGTCTCTAAGACATTGATTTGTAGCCTTCTGTTTGTTACCTTAATTGGCCATTTACGGAATGAAAATAATACGGAAATAATAGGTATTCGTAGTCAAATTCATCATACTGACCTCCTTTTCGGATACGCACACGAGGGCCCGATTTGCTTCGTCGTAGCAAAGTTTGCCGACAACGTGTGGTTGTTTACGATACTTTAGACCAAGAAACTCTGCTTCGGGCGTAGATACTGGGTTGAGCTTAATATAGCCCAAAATACGAAGTTCTTTTGAAATCAGGTAAGACTCAAGAAAGACTGTCGGGGCAAGTCCTGTTGCACAGATCACCTGCATTGGAGTAATTTTTTGATAAAAGTAGACCGTTTTAAGAATTAGGCACAGTGCTGGCGTACGGGCGATAAATATAGAATCAGCTACATGCAAAGTGTTTGGTACGCATTTTATTTGATATAATGGGGTGCAGAATATTACCCAATTATATGATAAATTAGATTAAATGGCTCTTGGAGACAATTTTTCGATATTTTCTCGTTTCATAATTTAATCTTAACAGTAACGTATATGTATTTATACAATTTATCAGTAAGTGCTTAAATTCTTTTCCTTTGACAAGACAGCCCAGCCGGGCGAGTAACAAAACAAGCACCTCAACAACGCACTGCTTTTGGCGCCCTAATGGCTAACTTCGTTTACCTGATGATACATATAATGTTCTCATTGTCACGCCTTTGGACGTTTTATGGTCTATGGCTTTCGTCGCATACTGTGTATCACATCAGGCTTCAGCGAATCCATTCAGAATTGTACATGTTCAGAATGTGAATAAGTCTGCGATACATATTGGACAATGCAATACCGCTATGTACACACTTAAATAAGAGCCTTTACAGAGAACGAAGATATATTACGATATTGCTTGGGAAACATTTTTGTTACAGTATGAGCATGTAAGTATGATTATTGTTGTTTAAATCGTTAGGAACATTTAGTTTAGTAAAACTCAAACGTTTCTAAAATTAATAATTTGTTCAATCAAGTTTTTAACTTCGGGCAAGTTTTATTGGGTTCGTCGCCTTAGCGGACATCTACTAGTCCGCTATTCTAGGTACACAAAGTCTACACCTAATCAGCTAGAAGAAGGCTAATCTCTATATAAAAGCCTTAAAAAAAATATTAAAACTCCGTTTATAAAACCGTTTCTGAGATCCTGACGATATGGGTCTTATTAAACATGAGGATTATTAAACACGGACAAATGAGGTTCCGTTGCGCAAGGGTGAAAGCTTCGTGTACAGCATCCCCTTACCGTATCATAGGCGGGTAACTGAGTCATATCCGAAAACTCTGGAAGGTCAAAAAAGACTGTCGGTATTTCGACATCGATCTCTTCATCTTCATCGACGGCCCGCGATGGGATCTCACGGACCTCACCGAAGAATGTTGCCATCGTTCAGCACTAGTGGCGCCTGCAACAAAAATGCAAGGATAATGCATACTGTCATACTGACGTTATTTACTAATGGCCCTTTATTCAATAACACCTTTGTCATTGGCCTATCAGGATAATAGCGTCTCAATCTGCATCTTTTATTGTCATCTTCCCGTTTCGTGATTAACAGGGCACGAAAGAGGCAACACTGATACCCAGGTGACAGGTACATCTAAAGTATTGAACTATGACTAAAAAGATCTTATGTAAAAAGAAAAGATGCCACCCTACGCTAGACTCATTACTTTGCAAACATCGGATAAAAATATAAATTTTTTATGAAATGTAATTCACCTGGAAGGCAGAGTCAACATCAAGAACACACTTTCGTATCTTTAATAAATTGCCGAGAATCAGTTGAGTTAGTTTTGTCGGATTGGGAACATCAACAAGAGGATTGCCTTGAATGTTTCTACTTTGTGAACCTTTCTCTGGCTAATGCGCTGGTTTTTTGCCCCGTAAAACATTAATTTTGTCATGCCTGATCACTATAAGGAGGTTGCAGGTAACCGTACTGCACATACACACACACACCTGCACGAGGATTTTCAAAGGCTCTTCAACAATGTGCAATCGTCAATGTTGAAAGCGAACGTGTCTCTCTAGGAGTTACCTAAAGTCGTTTTCAATTCCTACGCGAGAAAGGACAAGCTTAAGAATGCCAGCTCCACAATTGCACAATACACGGATAAATGCTAAGATGAGTTTTCTGCCTTTGTTCGGCTGTCCGCCGTCTGACCTCCTCTCCGCTCCGGACTATACAAAACATGCGAGGGCAGTTTACGACTTTACTGTGGCGGTAGGAGATGTGGCGCTCGCACACGGACTTGATTGCAGTGCGGGCAAATTTAAATGATGAAAATTTGATTTAGATTTGATTTAAGATATCGATTCGAGCCATGGAATGGTTAAAACGAATAGAAAAAAAATGATAGTGTCCTTCGGCATTATAATTTTTGGTTAACATTTCATTGTATAAGTAGAACTGGACAATTTGAGTTTGAGATTAGTTGCTGTTGCTACCTTGGTTAAAAACTAAATGCGTTTAAGTGTCTTATCGTAGTTGCCTGTGATAGTATTCCAGTGTCATGGCCTGTGCTGGAAGGAAATAAGAAGACCGTCTGCCAGATATAAACAGGGATGCCGTTTGTCCTGCAAGAAAAACTATCGCTCTTGACACTATCAGAGATCAAGAAAGTGTCATTCATACTAACCTTTATAGAAAGGACTATTCGCTATATAGGCAATCTGAATTTCGACTTTTCCTACTTGAATTGGTATACGATTTTATTTTTCAATAGGATTCTGCGATTGAAAACTTCAACGAATGCTGCGTGTTGATACACTATGACGCAATATAGCAATCTGACAATCGTCATATATATTTCGTTATATACACGTATTGATAAATGTTTCGACACTTCCATCTAGTATTGTGTTAGTGGTAAATTATACGGGACATCGATGCGTCCCCGTAATGGTCCAATATTAACGCGGACATATCAATGCAGACGATTTGCCCCGTGCGCATCCAATATGACGCCAATGCTTTCGCTCGAATCCAGCTGACAAGGAGTGGTTACATTCCTTGAATTGGATGAAGTTTTACGGTGTAATGGAAGCAATTTTCAATCAAATGTTTGACACGTATGTGGAAATACAATTCAGTGTAGAAACGTGTGCCAGTATCATGAATATTCCGAATAACTAGTCACGACGAACAAAACAAGTGTGCAATAACTTGATGGTGACCTCTAGTTCCCAGGTTTACATCAACTGGACCAACTGAAGTTCGTGTTGTTTTCAGAGAGAAAACGGAATTATGTTAATGCGGTCCTATATCGACTGTCGCCAAGGGGCGGTTCGAGCGGTTCGTTACAATGTGGATGGAAATTATGCGCTAACGGCCGGCAGTGATCGAACTGTCAAATTGTGGAACCCAACAAAAAATTTACCACATAAATGTCTGCAAACTTTCGTAGGTGCATACTAATAGCTTGTGTTTATTATACCACGTTACTTTGTTTGAAAATATATTTCTGTAACTACAAAAGTTGCAATTCTTGAGGTAGCGCTAATAGCAGTACTTTTCAGTGTTACGAGGTGGATTACTTGTCGGTTCGTATAATTCTTGAAGTACGATGAAAATAGATCATTAGAAAGATGATGCGTTTTATAATTTAAGTATCTTCAATTATACCTTTGTGACTATATATTGGATTTCTGAGATTAGTGCAGCCAATTTAAGTGCGTCCAAACTGAACGTTTATCTTGTACAGTGTGATCAAATCGCTATCCTAAATAAAATTTGTTTTCTTGTGATGATTGATGTTCTGCGGCCATGCGGACTCTTTGTAGGCCACGGTCTTGACGTGCTCGATTGTCGGGGATCTTGCGACAATTCGCTAATTGCGACGGCATCAGCAGACAAATCTTGTGCGCTTTTTGACGTGCAAACAGGTCGAAGTATACGTCGGTGGCGTGGGCACGCTGGCTCTGTTTTTTGCGTGACCTTCAACGAAGACGCCTCACTTGTGCTTTCGGGTGGCATTGATGGAACGGTTGCTGTCTGGGACGTACGCAACAAAGGAACACGTGAACCCGTGCAGATACTCAAGGTTGTACCTTTATTTCAAATCAGTTGAATGCTCACTGTACAACATCGTGCTGATGTTACAGCCTTAGTAGCCGTGGGATTTTGGTCAAACAGAAACATTGTTTTGACTGTCCGCCGTACTTGGTACATGGCTTGAAAAAACATCTATGGACGACATTTCTGGCTAATAGAAAATCAACAGTTACGATACTCTAATAACGAAATAAATATAACATATATATTAAAAATAAACAAAATAAAAAGAGACCCTAATTGTACGTCGTCGATAGTCATGCGAACGGAAATATGCTTAAAATTAAAAAAGAAGGGTGCGTGATAATGTAGGACAGTAAGCTACATAGTAGGTATAGTACTAAAATCGGTATCTATTTAAAGGCCTTTTCAAATATATGTAAATAAGCTAAATTAGTTTAGTCTAGACTCTTGAAAAATAACAATCTTTTTGTTTCATATTAACGGTATGATAATACTTAGGCATTGGCTTTTTTCCATTATCCTGAAATTTTGCTTGTATGTGATATGGAATCAATCAAATCTTTAGGAGCCAACAGATGCAGTTACCAGCGTAACCTGTTCAGATCACGAAATTTTGGTTAGTTCGCTAGATGGCCACGTTCGAAGATACGACATTCGGGTAGGAAAGATGTTTCATGACGATACAGCGGCACCAGCTACAAGGTGTGTACTTATCTATTCATCTATTATTTCAGTCAATCAAATCACTTTCAAACTAGCACAGAATAACTGGCGTTTACATTGGATATATTCGCATCGCATTTGTTGGAAATTAATGTCTGAGACCGAAGTTTTTTAATGATTTAGACAGATTTAGCGCTAGTCTTAAAGGGATTTACTAATCTAAATAGGACAAGACAGAAATTAGGTAGAGTATGAGATAACCATTTTGACAAACCTACTATTTGGTTAGCCTTCACTGTAAAAGGTGGGCGTGTATACAGTGACCACACTAGGGCACCACAAAGATGACTCTTCTTTGGATATGGGATCCGTTGCTAAAACTGTGAGGCATAGTCAAAAATGGCCACGCGTCCTCCCCTTACGCGTGGTGCCTCTAGCGTTATTGATTACCTACAGTTATTTTGAAATGACATATATACGATACTATAAGTAATATAGTCGCCTTCCGAAAAAAGTAGGCAGGTTCACGCAAAAGAAGTGAAAAATCACGAGCGATTCTAATTGTCAACTCGATTAACAGAGCATGCTTTACGGCCGACGGCAAATGTATCCTGACGTCATGTATTGGAGGTGTCCTTCACTTGATTGACAAGCATTCTGGAGAATGTTTACAACAGTTTAAAGGTGAGTAAACTATAACCTTTAAAAAACAGTTCGCTCTAATCCATAGGGTTCTCGGTTTAATAAATATATTATATTTTTGTTAAATAAATTTTTGTTTGGCATGTGACTTATTATGGTCACGAACTATTTATGAACCTGTTGTCCAATAACTTTCTGGGTCTTCTAAGAAAAGCTTCGTTTTGAAGCGATGTCAACATGGCATCGCGTATGGTAAACAAATAATAATAACCATATAAATCTTCTAAAAGAGTACTCAGTATATAGACTCGTATTTTAGGGCACAAAAACGCTGAATTTTATTTGGATATTGCCCTGGGAGCGAACGATATGCGAGTGTTTTCTGGATCGGAAGACGGAAATGTATATATATGGGACCTGATAGAAGCCAACGTAGTTCACAAAATTCAGCATAATATTATCGCACCAGGTTTGTAAAAAGTATAAGAAAAATACTAAGACTGCACTTTATTATTTCAAATACTGCTTCGTAGACATAAGTGCACGCATTTTAAATAAGTTGTTTATTATTTAGTTAGTTAAATTGTGCAGGATTAATTGGTGGTTGGCATGAAGACACTTCTCATTTTCGGATTAAAGCAACGGGTGTTTATTTTTTTCATTTTCAGTTCATTCATTGAGTCATCATCCAGAGAAAAACTATCTATTAACAGCTTCGAAGGGTGTTGTCTATTGTTGGGCAGAAAAAAATCCAGATGAATGAATCGTTAAAAATGGAAATCTTGTTATCATGGATATTCGCTTAAACCTAGAAGTCACTTCCGCATGTGTACGTGAGTAAAATTGCGGGACATGCCGTTGTGTTCGCAAAGATATCAAAAAAGTTAAGTGCCTTTCGTTTTAACGCAAAACAATGCCATAATTCCAGCTTTAAGATTCAAGCAAACTAGTTAAAATAGTGAATACGTTTATGGTCCTCGTTTTATGAAGTATGATCTTGAGTCATAAGAAAACACTTCAATTAAATTGCGAAGGATTCTAAAGGAGAGCTGTGATTTATCGGCAAAGCCAGGCTCGTAAAAGAAGCTTATTCGATTAATAATAAAGTTGTAATAATACTATTTCGGAGTCAAGAAAGTCCTGTTCTGCCTACAACCGGAAAATTCTTCATGTCGGGCGTACAATATCTTACACGTAGTTAGTCGCAGCTCTCTGCCGCTATTCGGGTTTCTGAGTAGTATGAGCAAGATCATCGACGGGAAAGATTTGCAAACTAATTCATACCGAAAGAATTCAAAAGGGTACAGAAGAACATAGATATAGGTTGCTATTTCAACAGGTCGTTCAAGCATTAGTTTGAAAACAACTGAAATGACTGGGTTCATGTCGTAAGCCATTCAAGGCGGATTGATCCTGCGTTAAAGCAAAAAAGCTTCCATGTTGTCATTGGCGACATTAGTTACGTGGACGTACATCGTAGAACGACAAGTGTATCTTGTGTGGGTTCATAGAATATACTCAAAAGGTGTTGCCGACAGCTGAATTTCGAAGCTCTTTGCATATGGCCGCGACCACTGCATACTTCACTCAGATTTCTACGCATTAAGTCGACAATTCCAATAGCTTCAGACAGTCGATTGTCGGGTTCTACAAAAGAATCCTATATGATGAAGTATAAAGTTAAGTGTTAGGCAATTCCTGCAGACTTCAAAAGTTTTCAAGTACTACTGAGTACCGGGACCTATAAGGCACTGAAGTATCACATATTAAAGATATAGTAAATTTACCATTAACAATTCCTCCTAATATAAAATAAAAACGCAGTGCTATAAATGAAAAGCTTTTATTAAAAATTTCTTTCTTATTTTTTATATATGGTGCATCGCTTGTAGGTATGTACCTTCCTCTCGAGAGTGAAACAGAGTGTTTTTGTGTAAGTTTGAAAATCCGGATTGCATCGTGTAACTTCGAACAAATCATTATGTACAGTTTGTGCTGGCATTTAAACCCACTTTTGTGTTAGAAGTACGAAAAGCACAAAAGAACATTTGCGGTCTTTAAAAGGAGTTTTGCTGCAAGCAGCGTAGTGTGTCCCATTGATCTACATCCTAGAATGCCTTATTTTGATTCGACATTTTTCAAGAAGTCTGAGAGTACGCTAGTAGGTACCATTATGAAAAACAGTACACCACCGTATTGTTTCTCCGAGTTCAAACGCTTTCTGTTTAGTTATATAGTTTAGGAGAAGGCAGATAGTGATGCCTGGATTTATTAACCATATGTGTTGCACACATATGCATATAAAACCAACTAATTTACTTTTGCTGTATTTCTTGTTTTGTTTATATGACGTGCTATTTGTCCCTTTGCTTGAAGACCGCAGTTACAGATGACACATATTATAAGCACACCAATACCGTTTGTACATGCAGGATTATTGTCGTTACCATAGTTAGAAAAAAATCAAAAAGAGGACAAGCCATGTTGGAACATACATTTTTAGAATAGGCCATTTCTTCTCTGTCGTGCAACGGTGAGCTAATCCTGCAGCTTAGTTCATCGAACCTTTTTTACAGAACGCATATGGGGAAGATACCATCTGAAAATCGTTAGTAATAAATTATTAATTTCTACTGTTGATATAACCTTCAGATCTGAGTCTACGTTTGAATTTACACAATTTACTGCATATTAAAACAAGTAATCGGTTTGGAAACTACATTGTGCATTCGTTAAGTTACCTTCTTTCGAGACAATAAATTGCTTTTCTTTAAGCAGATCTTATGCCAGCAGACCAGGTGCCATTTACAGGGCGGTATTCTACCAAGATATTTAAGGTCTTGGTAACAGTATCTGTGTCAGCATTATTCTGCGATTTAAAATACCAGCATGTTTGTTCATCATATAGATATCATTGATAGAGAAACATTTTTCGACAGCTCGCATAGCCTAAATTGACTTCATCCAAACTCGAATACATGCGGGTGTGTTAGCGTTCTTCTGTGCGGACTAAGCCCTAATAGATAAAGGGTCGGGATGACTGGCTTTTGTGGGGTATTCGTGGGGACGCGGTTGTTGCTCCGCAGGAGAGTATTAGACGCAACTTTTCATCGTTTTTAGGGACACACATTTGATACAAAAGGACTTGCCTACAGCTGGCGCGGTAACTTAAAAAATCGTGTAAATTTATTGTCGAAAAGTATACAATCGAGCGGATTCAGTTTTGATAAAAACATCATCTCACGTTACCAATGCCTTATTTTAACCTGGCTTCGACCTAAAGCCCTATGCAGTATTACGACCGGCTCGGAGGCATCTAAAATGATATCGAGAAATTGTAAATCTATAGATGTCGATGGAATATAGACATACTTAGACTGATGAAATACGACCTGGTACGGACCCGTAAGAACAAAATGGTTATTGCTTTCTGCGTATTGCGACACTCATTTACCATATTTGCGGCTTAATAGGCTTTATAATCTCCAGGATATTAAACGAAAAGAATAAAAAGATTGAGTTGACTGAGATGCATAAAGACGCATGGCGAATTCTAAAATGTATATACTGTATCTATGATACGTCATGAAATGCGAGCCAAGTGATGTCAATAACTTACAATAACTTAATAAATAAAAGTGACACATGAAATACTCGCAGAGGTTGCCTTCTAAACAGTAAAACTATTAAACTGTCACGAGCGAATCTGTCATACTTAATTAACTTTTAAACTAATGGATTAGTTTTTAAGATGAAGTTCCAGAGGTGTCTTTGTTATTTTTTAAACACGCTTGCTGTAGCGCTATGGCAGCGCTATGAGGAGTCACATACCTATTATCCGTGTTCCCGTATGAAGTTTTTCTATGGCTTCTCGAACTAAATCCACCAGTTTCCCATTTTGCACCATGGAAAGCTTCGTATTCAGTGATCTAGATCGGGAGAATAAGCGATTGGAATCTATATGTGTAACTAAGATATGGCTATGAAAGCTGGTGTTGGCATCAAGTAAAAAAATTTAGTAGTTTTGATTGTGGTGCCAATTCCGTGAGCTCTTTGAGGAATTCGAGGTAACATGCTAGATCCATTGCCTCATAAATTTTCGGCAAATATCTCACAGTATCAGGTGCCCTTGTTGTACGCCCATTGCAAGTACTACCATTACTGTTCTTCTGAGCCTACTAAACATTACCACCGAACTCAATCTTACTAGGATGATGCCACTCTCTCGTTGAATTTATCTTCTGCTGGCGGTAGAGATTGAACCTCACCTCATATATGGTGACCATATGATCTAGGTCAGTTTTCTGTTGACTAACGCTCTGTAAATTGCACATGGAATATATCCTACGCATTTCCGACTGGCTAACGGGGGAAGTATTTTTTACTAAGTTTTCTGTCTATGGGTTTGTAATCCTGCTAAGTTATTTCATGTGAAATGTCATTTAAAATTTCACTTCACAGAACTCTCACACTTAAAGATCAACTTTGGTGAATAGTCTCCTCGATTGCGGTAACGCTTCCTTCTGCTTCGAGCCTAGTCACCCTTCGCTGGTTTTCAATACTCCAGGGTGCGTTCCTGAAAAGTTTATATCATTGTACGTTTGTTTGATGTTTTTTACCTTTCGGATAATTGTTGCAGCGCTGTGTCCTTTGAGGATCATTCAGTCGACCACTGAGCGTTTATTTTCGAGAGTTCATTCGAGATTTTTTCCCTCTAAACTAATTTTCTATGAAGTACACTCAACCTGTTTGCACTCACAAGAAAACGTATTTACCACCTAATTTTTGCGTGCTCAATTAATTTTGAACGCCGGAGCCGCTTGTAATAGCCTCATATAAACCAAGGTTCGCGTAACGATGATGCATAGCGAATTGAATTCAATTTTGTGTATCCAGTTCAGTCTGCAAAGCACCACTGGTACGCGAAAGCATCGTCAGTTCAGTTCTAGTCGAATGTTAGGAAAACCTTCTAGAGGGTAAGAGCAAGCTTCTTATCATGCTGACAGGAAATACAAAATGTGCATGTCTAGTATTTAAAAAATACTTTTTTGTTGACCATTTCCTAAATCGACTCTTTGTATCCTTACTTAGGCCTTAGTACAGGCTCCAAACTATACATCCGACTAGAAAATATGGTGTGATACAAACAGGGTAATCCGTCCAACAGTTATTTCTCGAAGAGTACGCCTTGCACTTAGCCACAAGAGGGTAGACAGGTGATTCTTTAAATATGTAAAAGATAGCATACGTTCTCCGTGAATACGAATCAGTAAATAACCACCTCAGAAAGTTCCTAATTCGACTACAATCTTTCGCAATGCTTCTATTGTTATCTTCCATCAGTCATCTCCAACGTTTCATTAGATTGAAATATTAAGCATAGTGTTAGATCAAAATATCAACATTTGCGTTTATATTAGAAATGTATGGTTAGATATGTTACGACAACGGAGTTACGATTACTTTTAGATGCTGTAGCCTTAATTTACATCGTTGTAAAGCTACTTTGTTTCATACATAATTCTGTTTGCATATTTGCCCATTTCAAACTATAACACCAGGATACGAAAAATAACCGGTATACAAGCTTATTACTCCTAGACTTCTGCTTACACTACAGTTATATATCTCTTATTAGTAATACGTTTCGCAGTGAATTCTCGTATATTCAAGCATTCTTAGTTTTACGAGTCCGTATGGTCAAAGGCTTTAGAAGTTTTGATTGATATAAGGTGCATATTTCTACGAAGTCATGTATCTATTCTTGGTATCAATTATTGTCGTTTATGCATATTTAATCGTTTTAAATTGTCTCTTCTGAGGCACCGTAATAGCTGACATGATTAGAGCTCAGGTAAAACAACCATGAAAACTATTTTTAAGAACTACAGCCAAACAATTTTTTTAAGTCATAAGGATTCATCAAGCTGTCATTTTGTACCGTTTTTATTCCAAATACTACTACACGACTAAATTTACACATGAAGCGTAATACGAAAAAAGTACTTTCTGCACTATCTCCCGGCGTTGACCTCTTCGCGAAGAGCCATCTCTGGTCGTTGGATTTTTTCAAGCATAATCCGTTTCGCAAGCTTCATATCTGCACGGCCCTGCGTAGCTATTTGAATGTGCGACATAAGAGGTTTCAGGACGTCCTGCTTCCCCACCTGAGCTTTACGAGCGTGTTTCGGATAAAGCCTTATGGCTTCTTCGCAAAGTGCTCCCAGCAAATTTTCATCTTTAATCATCCACCAGTTGTTTAGCTCGACAATTTCTTCTGGGTCTCGGCTACTTTCAATGACCTCCTGTAGCACTTCCAAACACTTCTTGATAGGTAGACGTCGCTCTCCAACCATTCGGATGAGGTCTGCAAACTGTTTAGGCGAAATGTGGACGTCCTCGAATTCCATCGAATGTTTATTCATGTAGCCGATAATGTCAATCAGCAATATGTTGCTTGCTTGCTTTGCATATTCAATAGATAAGTAGTTCATTGCTTGTGTAAAGAATTCGTACATGCCAGGCTCCCGAACAATAACCACACACTTCCAGAAATCCAGCCCGTATGTATCCATCAGGCGCTTGCGGAGCTCATGAGGCAACGATGGTAATGAATGACGGAGCGATTCGATGCAAATGCCAGCCTGTTGCAAGTTAAGGCTAGGTATGTTTGGTTCGGGGAAGAAGCGGTAATCCTGAACAATTTCCTTGTCTCGCATGACTACCGTGGACACTGTTTCACTGTCAAAGCTAAGAGTAACATTTTGAATTTTCAAGCCTCTTTTGACAAAAAACATTTGCCGCCTAATCTCAAGGTCAATGGCACGTGAGACTGCTCGTAATGAATTGAGGTTCTTAACTTCGGTCCGAGTTCCTAAAGGAGTTCCAGGCTGATGCACAGAAATGTTGGCATCAACTCGAACAGCGCCATCTTCCATACGCCCTGAGCATACTCCAATTGCTTTCACAATAGCAATAAGCTCTTTAACTAAATCAGCTGCTTCCTTGCCACTTTTGAGGTCTGGAGCGAAGACAACCTCGAGCAGTCCGACGCCTGCCCGGTTGAGGTCGATTAGACTTACGCGGTTTTCGGCATCGTGGACACTTCTGCCAGAATCTTGCTCTAGCTGAAGCTGGAGGATCTTGCACGACTTCTTCTCAGGCAAAGCGCCAGGACTTTCCATTTGATAGTAATTCAAATTCCCCTTCCGCGCGATCGGATGAAATTGTTGCGTTATCTGAAATCCTGCCGGCATATCTGCGTAGAAGTAGTGTTTCCGGTCAAAGCGGGACACGTTGTTCAGTTCTGCGCACTCCAGTGCGAGTGCCGTTTGTACAGCAGCTTCTACACAACGTCGATTTAGTACAGGAAGGGTACCTGGAATAGCGGCGTCAAATGCAGACACCTGTCGGTTAATACCCCCGCCTAAAGATGTCGAAGCGTTTGAAAATAGTTTGCTCCTCGAATTAATCTGTAGGTGCACTTCCAAACCAACGACAGGCTCGAAATTTTCTGTCCATATCTCACGGCTGGAGGTGGCGCAAAGCTGGCGTAAGTGCTGCCGAAACGATGGACGTCCCAGACTCAATCGTGTGATATGCATGTTACTTCAGATGCAAACCTCTAAAACAAACTGAAAAACAACGATGTAAGAGACGACAGACATGTCCACGATGGCAGAGTTATTTTTGTTTGGCTTAATCTAAACCTAGACACGTTTTACGCCCTGTAAATCAACCATTAGATAAATGACAATATTTATTAGTTTAATTATATCGTAGCTCGGAAATATTTGCATTTGAACGTCTGACATAAATAAAATTGTCTTGGGTATCGTCGTTGCACATTGCTTTACAATACTGCTGCCCAACGAGAAACGAAGCCTGTAATTCTAGGTCACAACGATTGATATATTATTATTATTATATTGATATACTCTAATATATTTGTAGGCAAACAGGTGATTCTTTTTTTTTTCTGTATTTCATCGAGGTTTTGATGCTTAACGATAAAGGAGCATCGTAACCACCTCGTTGTTGTGGAACAACTTGGTCTGCTCTATGCAAACTGAAAGCAGGTTCTGTTTTATAATAGAAATCATTGGATTATCACTCTGGAGGCCGTATGGACTACTGCTATTACCGCATGTATGGTACTGGAAAGTTTCCTGTCGACAAATCGAAAGAACTTTGTAGCTTGAAAGTAAAATTCAGCTTATTAGAAATGACAAGTTTTGGTATTTTTTAAGAGCATGTCACATGTAGTTGTTTCTAGACGAAATTTGGCTACTTTATTAGTACGACGTGTCGTTCGGACAGAACAACACTGGCGACAAATTCACCATAGTGTGAGTAACCGTAAAATATTACACTTTTAAATTTAAAATAGAAATTAAATAAATATGTATAAATAACCAGGTCATATAAAAGCCGGCCTTACACTAGGCAACAGAACCTTGTGTGTTTACGCTAGACGTATCATATTCTTTGATCTGCTAAACTTGATAATAAATTGTCATAGGGCATCACCTCTTCTAGTTCTAACCATAGCTTTATGAAGAATAGCACTTTCCTTTTAACTTTCTTGAATGACTGACTTCTTTGCACAGATTCATTAGTTATTCATATAGCTTTAGCTCGTGCCCATTTAACCCCATTTTGAGAGACTACATGCGTTAACGACACAGGTTTGTTCAATTGATATTTTCTCGAAAATGAATGCAATATCTTTTATTCCTTTCGGCTCTTTTGGTGAAAAGATCTTTTGATGGATACAATTGTATCATTTTTTCTCTTCAGACATCCCAAGTACATTCTATATTCATCATTTTAAGCTATTACGCTAAAAAGGCCAAGTACAATACTATTTTGCCGACGTGATAATTTGTACATTATAAGATAAAGTCGTCAAAGAGTACATTTTATTCCCAAACGACGTAAGCGCAGCGATAATGTCGTTGGCACACTTTCTGCTACGGGTGTGGCTAATTGAACAAGCTAAACAATTTAATCATAAACAAATGCAATTTTTTCCTAATAAGAAACGTAAATTTCTTGTTTCATAATGTAGACGTTTGTGATAACACAGGCCAAATTCTGAACAACGGGTTCTACGTTCAATGAAATCGTCGGGACCATCATAAATATTTCATATAGAAAAGAAATTTTTTCATTCTATTCCATCAAAAATTCAGTATTCTAAAGGTATCTTGCAAAGATTTTGAATGCATTGTAATCGTCCTTCAAATTTAAGCACATCTTTCATATTTCATGTTACGACAAATTTTACGACAAAAAAAAGTCTATGCTGAACAAAGAAAGATAGACGAAACAATTCTGAGAATATTTATTGAACGACATTTTTGAAGAGCGATAGTTTCCTTATATCTCATGTTCAAGTATTTTGTATTTCTCTACTTCAAAATGCTTAATCTCATGTAATACATTTAACAAAACTTGTTTCTAAAAACTCAGACGTATAATGAGAACCAATCTTCTGTCAGCTGATACAATCAGTTATTTCTAACACACCTGACTCTAATCCACGGGCAAAACCTTGAGAAGCGCTTCTCACAGTTGCAAGAGTCTGTAGCATCTCAATGTGCCATTGCGAATCACTATAAATTCGTTTTGTGGCACATCACAACAAACTGCGAACGAAAACATCTGCATAAAGGTAAGACAACACACGACAGCTGATCCTATCAGGCATAGCGCCACTATTTGAACATGTGGCACCGACGTCAGCCGATTGAACGGCCTACTTTCTGACTGCTGCTCTGACGCTTTCTCTGTTCTTACCAGATATTCCAAGCTGTAGATGTCGATCTTTTATCAGAGCATCCAGTACCGGCTGAGCGAGCGAGACAGTTAGCTTACAAGGGCATTCAAATAAAACTAGTAGCCACATATGAACGCTAAAGACCCTCTAGTGAAAAGCACCAAGACGATTGGCAACCGCTCTATGGCGCCATTTTGTTTCATCGGTGAAAGCTTTGCTTATGTGAAGCTCTCGGATCGGCGCTAGTGAGTCAAGGAGTGTGCCGAAACGAGAAGAGTTTGCCTGCTAGCGATTTGGACGCGGCGTGTGGCTCATCCGTAATCTTTTGGCATGCGCGATTTGTAGGCAGGCGGCAAGAGTTTCTTAGACTCACCAACGTTATGCTATTCAGTAAGGGTAGGTACAGATTAGCTGCTTCGTCGAAAACTAGTCTGCGACAAATTGCCATATGAACAACGGGAACAGCAGATGCTATGCCTGGAACACTTCGGCTGCTGTAGCCACTCAATTTGTGGAGGTCGGTTGGGTAACGCTTGCGACTCAAATTATTGCTTACAACGAACCCAGCCTTGTACAGAACCCGTAGATCGTTCGTGTACTGGGTCAGATATCTTTGCCCGGCTTCGTTTTCTTGTTGATGCTTGGTGTCGTTGTTGCAGATGTCGAAGGAGAGTATGAAATCGTTTGGCGCCCGCGCCAACGTTACCAAAAGTGCTCCAATTTAAATGGGCATCAGTGATGCCTGCTGTGGGTGTCAGTTGTTAGAGCGAGGGTGGATGCTGTGTAGATACCTGAACTGCATCGAGACACAAAAGTTGTGATTCTGTAAACATGTTTCCCACATTACCTGCCACTTCCGTCAACGTACTTGCCTGTCAGTGTTATGTTATGAAGCGTCCAGTTTGTAGGTTTAAATAAAGTACGTTATATACACGTTTGTAGCACAAATTGCGACTGACTAATTGACAAGCCGTTGTCTCAGAATTGACATAGTGGAACAGCTGTGAAACTAATATGGAGTTCGTGTTTTTGTGATTGTTCTCGGTGATGCTTTTATCAATCTTATGGCTACTGAAGAAAAGAATTACATACGCGTGGTGAGGTGTACGTCATGCCAGAATTCTGTGAACCACAACAATCGGAATGCGCTGTACAGACACCCCACCCTTAACGTTCTCATCTGCAAGGTTTGCGGCTATCTTATATTAATTTATTCAAGATTTTATTAATAGCAATCTAGTTATATCGATGCATATTAGAACAATTTCTATAGCTCTGTTTTCCAATATTGCTCGGACATTATTACGGCAAAATTAAATTATATCCAATACGATCTTGCATCAGCTTATAACCTAGCACTTAATCTAGTTCTAATTACTCGCAGGTTAGATTTACGAAATTACGATACGAAAAACCCAATTCCGTGCCGCATCTCAAATAATCGTGGCATTTGCTCCGTTGAATATCAATTGTTGGCCGAATTTCTAGATCGGCTTTCAACATATGCAGAACCGTTCAATATCTTCACGGAAATCAGTCTAATTCTACAGACAGATCTGTATCAACCATATTGTTTGTAACTAGCCACTGTGACCGCTTACTGAAGAGCACTGATGATACTTTCTCGAATTGATTTTACGGATTGTGTAATGCACCCTAATCAAAGTTAGAATAAGCAGGGAACCCCGCTTGGAAGCAAGAGGGAGAGAGAGGGAGGTCAGCTGCAAACCACAGGGGTCTGATTTGGACAAAGTCGGATCTGGAGGTAGTCTGCTGGGAGTCGCAGCGTCCAAAGTGAGGAGCTGGGGTCTGGAGGGTCGGTGGGGAGATCGCTATCCGTGATATGGTCGTGGGTCGCAGCCGCTTCTGTCGGGCTGGGACATCAGCATAGCGCAGCCATTGCAGCAAACACCAGGAATCGGGGAGATTACGCTATAGGCAGACAATCTTCTGCTACCTTGGTGTTTGCTCTCGGATGGTGGGAAGGGCCTGCAAATGCTTTGTGGTTGAAGCCTCTGCCGGCTTGCGTTATAAAAGTTGTCGACTTTTCCCAATATAAAACATACCTACAGAAAACGGCAATTTCCTGTAAGAATAGGTGCCAGTATCGTAACATTGTGAATTAGCTACGTCACTCCGAGTCGGATTGTTCACCGCATGGAGTTAAACCTTTCGGAACAAACTGAAGCCTCTCGGATCCTTTTTGTTCGTGTGATTGAGTATCATGTATGTATCGCACTTTAAAGAGATCAGAAACTTCGTGAAAATTTTCTACAGGTTAGAACTTATCTTCCTCATTGATAGGTGTTTGTCCGTCGCTATACACCATAAATTAAAGTTCTGGTATTATTGTTGATCGACGGGGAAGGGTCGCTTATTATCTACTGAATAGTGATTCTTGCTATTGTGTAACTGAGAGCAGAGTTACATGGCACAGGTTCACTTTACGGCAAAGTTAGGAAACAGTTGTAAGTCAAATTCTATGCAAATAAGGACACATTTGCCTCTGGACATCGTGTCACGTTTTTATGTTGGCCATGACTAAAAGAGAACACTGTGTATTTTACTTCTGACCTTCCTAATTATCTTATTGAATATTAATATCCGAAATTGTTTTATATTTTTATGAGTTCGCCTGAGGCTGAATTTCAAGAACTTGTTGGAACATCAGCAGAAATAACAGCCCTTTGGCTGCAATTGATTTCACTATATAGTGATTACGACCGCGGCACTACTACGCATCAGTGATTTTCTGACGGCCGCACCAAAAAACTATCAATTCTATAGTATAGGTTTGTATTAAAACTGATGCAGATGTTTTAGAATTATACGTATACATATATTTATGTGTATATATACGTAATCCGTTTTTGACTGGTTTACCGCATTGCTTGTATGTCCTAAAATCATTGTAGAAATGTTACTCGTTTTACAAAGAAGGCGAATGGGAACGCGACAAAGATGGTCAGGATGAATATTGCCGATGGTGCGGTGAAGGCGGTCATTTGTATATTTGTGCCTCATCGAGCTGCCTGATGGGTTTTTGTCGAAGATGCATAAAGACCAATCTTGGAAAATTAGAAATTGAGCGCGTTGAGGACGATGACTTCTGGCGATGCTACATGTGCAATCCAGAGCCGCTAAAGGTTAGTACTAGAAATTTTGAGTGCATTACGATTAGCATAAAGGAACTAGTATTTTACATGAGTAACTATCGCTTATAGGAATACAACAGCTATGCGTTTTTTTCGTCAGTTTGATATTCCATCAAACTCTCTAGAAATCATCATACATAGTTTGCAATACGTAGTCTATATCTGACTAAAATTTGATGAATCAGACATGAGAAGATGATCTGCGCTACCCAATCGTCCGCAGATTACAAACAGCAGTTGCTTATGGTAAGAACTAAGACATGTCCCATTCGTTTTACATGTATGACTGACCCTGGTCCTGCTTGTTCCAGTCCAGCCAAGGCTATATCTACTTCATTTAGCAGAATCGCTTGGGCAGTGTCACTAATATTGCAATTCAAACATTTTTAGACAACCTTGTACTTTTATGAATAGCTCAAGTATCAAAAGGAGTGTATCCTTCTGTCATATCTATTAACCGGAGCGTACATTTCAGGTAATTCAAAGCTGGACGAATTCGGTGTTTCATTTGCTGCAGACGAATGCAAAATCGAGACTGTGCGCAACTAAGCCCCCAGATGCCCTACAAATTTATAGGCAGGAACTGTCGGACTCATACAACCTACTTGCGAATGCTTTACGTTATCCAAAAGGTGCGCTGTATGAACTGCATTATACTGTTGTATTATCTGAAAATAAAAGCTACAAATTTTTTTCTTTTTCTACGGGAAGGTGAATCGGAGCACGAATTGATTTTAGGCTGCCCTGCACAATTCTTAGATGATAAAGGGTGGCAGGTTTTTTTGTGATCAACAATTCTCTACAATGTGCAAGTTATTAAAGTGTAGCATCTTCATTTCTAATGTAGATGTAGTATCTTCTTTAAATAATTACAGGGCCGAGCATAAATCAAACACGCATGTCTCTATTAGAAATGTTATCACAGTTCAGACAATGCCTTAGTCTGGTGGAGAAGTTCGTAGAATCGGAAAGTTTTGCTCCGTTCGTCCAAGTTGTTGTCGGTGATAAAATGAAAACGCCGGCGCAGCAGAGCAACCAGTTATCAGCAGAAAGTGAATCACGTGGTAGTTCAGGTCACGTATTAGACATCGACGATACCGTTACTAATGAGATTATCGAAGCTAACGGAAAGGATGTTAAGATCGCAAAGTTGGATATAGGACGAAGGAATAGCAGCCGCTCTTCAGCAAAGGGAAAAGAGAACAGAGGTAAGATCAGTGAAAGAAGTTCTCCACATCAGGGAGTATCTCCGAGCACGTCTGCCCGCCTAAAAGAGGAACCTAAAGAGACCGCCAGTGACCATCGACCTCGAAGCTCATCGCCGTTATTCTACGACGCTAATGATACAAAGCTGGCCCGATCACCTTTTGCGGATTCCGACGATGACGACAGTGAAAACAATGACAAATTCGAGAAGTTTTGTTCTGAAGTCTCTAAATGCAAACCTGTGCCGTGTACCTCGGTGTCAACAGTCCATGATGTTTCTTTCAACAAACAGGATGAGTCAGGCGAGCAAAGTGTTCCCTTTCAAGCATGCGAAAAGAGTACCGATGTCCAGCCAGTGCCGGACCAATGCCAGGAGAATTTGTCTCCGTCGTCGCCTTCAACGGCAGCAAGAGAAGCCGCAATTACTGCAACAATAGAAGATAACAAGCATGCCTTTGATGATGTTCCCAACGATGGTGGCTGCAACTTAGCTGATATTCCTTCTAGTTTTATTGTGGAAAGCGATATCGACAATGACCCCGTCAAGAAAGACGAGGAAAATAACAAATCATGCAGTGATGGCGGCGGTGGCAGTAACAACAATGAATCTGGAGGTGATTCGGACGGTGAAAGCAGTGATGAAGAGAACAGTCAAAACGAAGGTGGGGATAACGGTAGAAAAAATGATAAAAAACCCTCACCGGAAAAGGAGAGCGGAAGCGGGAGACGTGGACGCGAAGCTGATGATGATGACAGTCGTGGCGACGGCGGGGATGATGGTGGTGGTGATAATTACGACCCTAACGAGGTAGGATGAGCGCAAACGCACCGAAAGATTCTTTATAAATGTATAAATTTAAAGATATTATTTAGAAAGAAAATATGATGAACTTCATAGGAATAATTTAATGCTGTTGAACAAATATTTTGAGCTTGCATCAATTATTGAAGGAATAACACAGTATGTACGTTTTTATTAAAGGGGTACACTTTTTTTGTACCTTCAGTTATTTTCTTCATGTAAACAAGTGCGTAGGATCACCTTTCTCTTAGGTGTAGCAGCAAGGATTTACTTTCACTAGAAATCTAACCGGGGTGAATCTTGCTAGATTTACCGACAATTCTCTCTTCAACAAGATTATGGAACAACACGGCAAAAAGCACTCATTAACTTCAATGGTTCTTTCTTTGTTTTAATTCTTTATTTTCTGATAATTGTCTTTGCTAGTACCGAAATTTGAGCCAGGTAGCGTCCTTGTCAGTTATGGTTACCGTGGCGACACACTTAGAGATGCGTATCAGTCACCCAGACCACGCTAATATAAAGCGATGCGTACTTAGTTTGGTAATTCCCTTGCTTTTTTTTTTGTAACGTATCTAAAAATTTACGAATTTGGATACTTTCTGATCCGTATAGGGTGTACCTTCCTTGGACGAATTTAGGAAAAAAGAACTGATTATTCGAGTATCTCGAGTAGAAACTCTACTCGCTAAACAGGAAGCTAAACTGCCGTTAACGAGGTACCCTGGTCCGAAAAGTAGACGAAACGAGCCGAACTCTGAGGACAATGAGGACAACGAGTTACTTCGTCTACTCGAAGATCCTGTTCGGAGGAGTGTACTTAAGGCCGACCTAGATCGTTCTAAGTCCAAGAGAACTCTCAGTAAAAAGCCGACTAGGCAAGCGACGATCAATAAAAGTAAACTGAACTTTGGCTCTATTTTCTCCGATTCGGACGAAGGAAGTCAGCGACAGACGGTCGAAATCAGTGACAATGATAACGATGAAGTTAGGTGTGTATTTAGTTACTCCGCCTTGACAGAAGGTTTCCCCATATCTCTCTTTTTTTTGCAGGTACTGATTGTTGCATTTAAAGTTACGAATTAGAAAAATATTGCTATTACCATAAATACATTATAATCAGTGTCTCTTTTCGTAAATCGGCGGTTTTTCATATTTGTCTGGGAGATATACTGTCATCATTGTCGAAGGATTAAGTTTCGAATGTACATTTTGATTGTTAAAAACCTAAAACTTAGTACTTCTTAGTGACTCCCAACGATATTTGACTGACTTTTATTTGTAGAGGCAATGATTCGGATTTCGATGCGGAAGTACTTGCGAAGTCTGAGAGCCCCGCCGGAGACGCCTCAGATAGTGACGTGGAGGTGATTGCTGAGGTAAAAGCTACAAGAAGGAGTGAAGCTGGCAAAAAGAAGTCGCTGCTCAAGGACAATTCTGATAATGATAATGAAGACAAGATTGTCAAGAAAAAAGTTGTCGGGCATTCCTTACCCAGTATTCCCAAAGAGGAGGAAGATGACACCGTGGAAAAAAGTTCGAAAAAGAAACGTAAAGCTGTCAATGACAGCGATTCTGATCCTGGGTAGGTTTTCTCAAAACGAAGTGGTCTTTATTATTTTTTGTTACTAAACTAATGAAAAAGTCACGTGTTATTTCACACGGCTCATGTAAATACCACTATACAGTAGAACTATATGATATATAAAACAAGTATTATAACATTTATCTCAATGTATAAATGTATGCAATTATATAAACGTTTAATGCTTCATATAATGATAGGTTTTCGATTTTGCAAGCTTGTTCACTAATCCGATCTTGCTGCATTGGTCGGGATCATATTTACTAGTCATAGCTTTATAAAATATATAAATCGAGATACTGACTCATGGAATCATTAGGTTTTGCAAATGAGATGATGAAACCCGTGAGCCTGCATGGATTCTGTTATTTTGATGTGGTTTATGTTTGCAAGTCTTCATCCACCATCGATCAAAGCTGTGGTTCAAAAAAATATTTACAAGTCTTTCATGTGATTGAATTTATGGCATGTTAGGCACCCTTGGGATATCTCGTATAAACCTCAAAATGTCAGTTAATTAGGACAATTTACAGTTTCGTGTTATTACCGGAACACCCGACACGTCCAGTTTCAGTAGACCCCAAGCTCCTAGCTCTTTTAATGATCTTGATTCCGTATATAATGGTCGGCGCAGTCTTTAAGCTAAATACCTTAAACGCTGTTTTCACATAATACTTTTGGAGTTTTTCAATTGTGACAGCCACAGTTATTCTCTTTCTATCCCTATATCCTATTTAATCATGAGTGATGTTTTGGCTCACTGTTGACAAGCCTGCGCGGCTAGTGTCTTAGCATAATTGTTTATTCAGAGCTTTTGATGTCTTTTGCTCATGGAATTCACTTCGGCTAAAAGCTGCATGGTACAGTTGACTAGGATGCATTCGCTGTTTATAGGTAGATGGGGAAGATGATCCACAGTGTGTTTATGATTGTATTGGAGCGGGCAAAATGAACCGTGGCTTGACTGCTACGGTAGCGGCGCTAGATAGAAAGCCGGATAAACATGACGCCCAAGGTCCTATTCTAGATCGAGATTGGATGATCCTTTTTCTAAGCTGTTAGAGTTTTTAATTTAGACTTACCGCACAGTGATGTCTTTACATCAGAAATATCACTACGTCAGGTCTTACAACGTCACATATAGCGTCGCCTATTACGGGGGTTTTAATGCTGAAAATTTCCAGCACATATAAAAAAATTATCCGTAATGGCGTTTGGCCACAAATTTTGATCAATTTTTTCAAAGCCGTCCATTTCTTGTAGTGTGGCGAAGCCAAGAAGGACTCGAACCAGGGCCCGCATTAAGAAGGCTCGCATTATGGATAGCGATGACGAAGGCGGTGGAAAGAAGGAAACGGAGGAGGTAGCTCTTTCGCCAATCGAAAGTGACTCCGGTTCGGAACTCGAGGAGGAGGAAAAACCGAAAAAAAAACGGAAAAAGAAGAAAACTACAATTGAGGATTCGGACGAAGAAAATAAAAAAGATGAGGACGGCAATCTGGTGAATACCCATATCATCTCTTTCAAAACGTTATTGCGTTTACCATTGATAATTGTGAGGTGATTTTGATAGTAAGCTAGTTATATATGCATTCTTAATATACTCTTTATCTATAGATGATCGCAACTAAATAGCTGGTTCTTAAAAACAGAACCTTCTAATCTGAACGAGTACAATGCAAAGCTTTGAACAGAGACACAAGGGCAAATGACTTTTTTGTATCTAAGAATGTCGATGTACGTATGCGAATGTTACTATTGCGAGAAATTATCATTATTAGAAGAGAGTGGACTGTATTATTTTTGTTTCTGTCGTATCCTTTCTTAGTCTTTTCCTGTTTTTTTTTTTAATTATTATTTCAGTCTAAGCGTAAGTCAATTCGAAAAATCATGTCTGATGACAAGATTCAAAAAGACACGCGTACAGCCGCCAAGGAGGAAGCTGAGCGACGTCGCCGCGTACTTGAGCGTCAAAAGGCATATAATGAAATTGAGGCAGCATTGAAAAAAGATCGAAAGGATGACAAGGTGACTAGCTGCGTTCTTGAATATGACCAAAAAACCAAAGAGTCACTTGTTCAAGTTAATCCCGCCTTAGTTGTTCACATGAAGCCTCACCAGGTTGAGGGCGTAAAATTTCTTTACAACACAGTGATCGAATCGATTGAACAGCTGGAGAAAAACAAGGGTGACAGCACAGCTGGAGGCGGGGCTGTTCTTGCGCATTGCATGGGTCTCGGCAAGACGTTTCAGACTATATGTTTCATTCATACGCTATTGATGAACAGCAGACTGAACAAACACATTCAGAAAATCATAGTTGTATGTCCATGTAACGTTGTACTCAATTGGGCTCGCGAATTCGAATTGTGGATTGATGAGAACGAAAAACTTGAAGAGCGGTTAAATGTATTCGAGTTTAGCCGGGTGAAGACGATCTACGACCGTGTCGATATGTTAGAAGATTGGTCGAATCAAGGAGGGATACTGATCATGGGATATTCAATGTTCCGTGTAATGACCCAGATGAAAACAAAATCACGGAAGATCAAAGATAAAATTCCCAAGCTCCTGCACGATCCCGGAGCGGACCTAGTCATTTGCGACGAAGGTCATATGTTGAAAAGTGACAAAGCGCAAATTTCGAAAGCTATGAACCTGATCAAAACGAGACGAAGAATTATTCTTACTGGTACGCCGCTGCAAAACAACATGTCTGAATACCATTGCATGGTGAGTTTTGTCAAGCCTAACCTACTGGGAACACAGAAGGAGTTTAACAACCGCTTCATGAACCCTATTACGCACGGTCAATCGGCAAATGCTTCTCCCTGGCATGTTAAGCTCATGAAGAAACGTGTGCACATTCTCAACAAGCTGCTAGCCGGTTGTGTGCATCGCTGCGATTATAGCCATCTGACGCCGTACCTTCCAGCCAAATTCGAGTATATCTTGTCGGTTGATCTTACCGAGCTGCAGATGAAACTGTACCGTGAGTATCTGAAATCAATTGGTATTACCGAAGACACGACTCGCGAAGATCTAAGAAATCGGTCCCTCCTTAAAGATTACCAAGCATTAAAAATGGTCTGGTCGCATCCGTATTTGTTGTTGGAGAGCGCCGACCGTCAAGAGGACAAACGTCAACGCGCAGCTTTTAGAGATGATTTAGATGAGTTCATCGTGGATGGCTCCGATGAGGACACGCCGAGAAGCCAGAGTGGCAGTGGCACTAGTGAGGACGAGAATAAAAGCAGCAGCGATGCTGATGAGGTTGTCAAGAAATATCACACGCGTAGAAATCGCCAGGAGGGTCTGGTAGAAAGTGAACCTGAGGAGGAACTAACAAAAGTTGTAAGTTAAAATAGGGTATTAGATACAGTAAAATTTGGATGCCTAGAATTGGTCCAGTATGTCTAGATTTAGTGGCAAAATAAAGGTTACAGCCGGTAAATACACCGAGAAGAATTATTATCAGTCATTCGTTACAAAATAATATGTTGAAATTAGGCGAAGGCTCAGATGTCTATATAACTAAATAGAACCTCGTGCTGTTCGCACGGCTTTCTAAAACAGCATGTTGCATTGTGGCTCCTTTTGGAAGGTCGTAGCAAATCATTACTAGTAAATAATTTTCTGCTGTAGGTAATAAAGGCAAATTGATTACATTCAGTTAGCGCACCAGGCATAGTAAGTACCACATAGCTTTGGGTTCTAAACGACTGTTTATTCTGTCTTCGTATTGTTTTATAGCAAAAGCACAAAAAGGCCTGGTGGAATAGTCTGGTGCCACAAGAAGAAGAAGAATTTATGAAACTCGAATTGTCTTCTAAATTGACGCTGGCGTTGGAGATCCTTCGCCAATGTGAGCTGATCGGTGATAAGGTGATCCTCTTTAGCACAAGTCTGCTAACGCTCGATCTGTTCGAGAAACTCTTGCAGGTCGAGTATGAGCAAGCTTCACGAGCAGCCACTGAAGGCGACTATATCAATAGCTGGGTCCATGGTACGGACTACTTCCGGTTGGATGGTAGTACCGCTGTCGAGACTCGTAGGAAATACATCGACGCATTTAACGATCCGGAGAACATGCGAGCGCGGCTTTTCCTGGTGAGCACAAGAGCAGGAGGAATTGGAACGAATATGGTTGGAGCTAATCGAATCATTATGCTGGATGCGTCGTGGAATCCCTCCGATGATACTCAGGCGATTTTCCGAGCTTATCGATATGGCCAGATGAAGCCGGTCTACGTCTACCGCCTTCTGGCGCACGCCACAATGGAGGAGAAGATCTATGACCGACAGGTTAGCAAAATTTCACTTGCTTGTCGCGTGGTCGACGAACAGAATCTCGAGCGGCATTTCAACGAGGCCGATCTAAAGGCGTTGTACGAATTTAACCCGGAGAAAGACGCTCGCAAGACACCCGCCGTTCCCAAGGACCGACTGCTCGCCGAACTACTGATCGCGCTGAAGACCATCATCCAGGGTTATCATGAGCATGACTCGCTACTTCAGAAAGAGCTCGAGGATGAGCTAACTGAAGAAGAGCGAAAAGCCGCCTGGAAAGAATACGAGGATGAACGCGACGGCAAGGCACCCTACATGCCGTACAATATCGGCCTGCCGGGAACTGCTGGAATGTCTGGAATGGCCGGAACGCCTGGAATGGCCGGAATGCCTGGAATGGCCGGAATGCCTGGAATGGCCGGAATGCCTGGAATCCCTGGAATGGCCGGAATCCCTGGAATGGCCGGAATGCCTGGAATGTCAACTCTACCACCAGGAATAACGCCAGGCTCTGCGTATCATACCGCCTATATGAATTACATCCGTCAACAGCACGGTAAGCTGTTTTCTCTCGCGGTCGTCTTAAATCAGCTGTACGCATGGTATGGCAGAACTAGTGCTTATGGATTCGGTTTTTCGATTCATTATAGAAACTAAAAGGACCCACAAAAAGCAGAGGAGATGTATGTTTGTATTACATTTGGAATTTCGGCGCTGGTGGTCTGCTATTGATGTTAATTGAGCTTCTCCTTCAACCGGTATCACTTTGAAGGCTAACTTTGATTAGCTTAAGAAAAAACGAGTCGGAAACCCATTTCATTCGATTGAGCAGTGTTCCCATTCCTTTTCTTCATGGTTGATTTTTCTTAGTTTTTGGTTTAATCTTTACTATAATTATTTAGAAATGCATTTATCGTAGAAGTCTGTTTGAAGGTAGAAAATACCATCTATTAATGTCACTCTCTGGCCATTATTCACGTGCTAAGACACGGTGTTTTCGGTTAAGTTCCTGATGAAAAAAAAGATAGAAATGCAGAACACTTCCAGAATTTTTCAGACTTTGAAAAGATATCTGGAATTCTTAGCTTTTGTTACGGCTGTTAAATATAGCTCATAAGAATTTAGTACAGTCGTTGAGAACGTAACATATAAAGTTTTTTTTCGGTTTCGTAAGGAAAGAACTATTGTGTATAAAGTTCACACACGCTTCCAAGAAGTTGTGGCTCAACAGAGTATCAAATGAGATGGGTTCCTATTTAAAATAAAACGAAGGTTAATGTTAAAATCGTCTAACAGTTAAAAAAAAAACATCTAACATCGAAAACTGATGCGTCTCGCGCAATATTATGTTTTAACCTTCTCTGAGCATAATGATAAGTTGAATAATTCTTCTGTAATTCACTAGCATTAGTGCTAGCATGTAATGTTTCTGGTCGAGCCATGCGAGTCATTCGAAAATGCGAAACTCAGATTTCAATTTTCAACGCGTTTATAAATAAGCATAGAAGCAGCTTCTTTTCGTTACTTTAGTAATAAAGTTGGACTGATTATTAATGTATGCCTAAGCCTGTCAAGTACATTTAAGGGTTTAGGGATTGAGGACGTGGGACAGTCTTTTTTTCTTGATGAAACAAAAAAAATTTTGAATTCCTGCTTGATAATTTCTGCTATGACGTTTTAGGCGCAGGTAGCAAAACCATTCCCATGAGCTCTAGGGGTAGGTTTACAAGGTGTATTATTGCCTATACTTACTTTCTTTTCCGTAGCTGACTCGGCTGTCCCTTCTACGACAGGTCTCAGTACAGCTGTTTAGCATTGTTTCAAGAACCTGTCTAAGGAGAGGGCCCACTACGAGCAATCTGGAGGCACCAAGCAGACGAAGAGAGTACTAAATTAATCGTCTTTCTAATTCCTATTCGGATTTTATTCAAGTACGCCCTGATTTGAATCTAGACCACTTCAGTGCCTCTCCGATTATTGGGCAAACAAGTTACACTGCACCATCGTGGGAACTGATAATTTAATGTCGGCCGTGTCGGGTATCATTTAAACTGGACGGCGTAGACGGGAGCTGTTGATCAAATACACAGCATGGCGGTGAGAAGGCTGCATAACTTAAAAACAAAATGTCTTACGTTACTTGTCTTCTATTGTACCTACGTTACATTTTTTTTACTGAACCCAATGCTGTTCTCTAAATAGTTAGAGTTCCTATGGTTTTTACGTTTTCTGTTTGTAAGCCTAATTCCTTTATTGCTGAAATTTTTCTTTAGCAAACATGCTGAATACCATGCGACAAAGGTATATGCAACAGCAGCTGCATCAACAACAGCAATCGTCTGCTCATTTTTCCGATCAACAACAGCCGCAGCCTGGCTTCTACCAGCAGCAGCAACAACAGCAACAGCAGCAGCCGCAACCACAACCACAGCAGCAGCAACAGCAACAACAACAGCAACAACAACAGCCAGCTGGCAGACGTAAGTGTATAAAACCACACGCACGGATCTCTATTTCTTTGCAATATAGATCTGATCAAGAGAACCGATTGTTTATTGGTTTATTTTGTCATGTTTGTGGATCTTTAAGGTGATTCAAGTGGTGCTTTAACACAAACGGTAGAAGTATTGGGCGATTCAATCTTCATACGCGGGTTTGCTACAAATATATCCATATACATTTTAAAATTTTTCAAGCAGTAGACCAGGCAGATTTTTTTTGCGGCCACCTAGATGTGAATTCCGGGAGATGCAGTGCACAGTTTGAATACAATAGGATATTTTTTACCTAGAAGGATAAGCTAGCTTTTAGGGCGTAACGGAGGATTCATTAACCAAAACACTTCCAACGTCGTACGTTTAGATTCCAACGTTTGAAGCCAACGCCGTATCACTGCTTAAAGTGGCCATGAGAGCCATCATCATTAAATGCTTTTTTTTCAGTGCTACGGGAACAGATATACTCAAGTTGTGTTGCACAGATATCCATGCTTAACATGCATTAAAAAAAAACTGTTTTATCTATGTTGTAAAAAGAAACATTTGGTAATGGCCTAGTAGCCAGTCGCTAGTTATATTAAAAAAAGCTAATTATAAATATCATTAGCTATACAGGTACAGTGAACATGTTTCATCGCAAAACAGGGGCGTGGCGAAATTTGCGGGTAACGCTCTAATGTCACTTTTCCCGCCCAAGACAGCACGGAGCATTTTCGATTACTTTTTTTTCCATACTTATGATATAATTAGTAGAAATTCTCTGGGATATTCGCAGGTTATCACTAATTTATGTATATTATAGTCGACTAAGTGTTATCATATATAGTTTGAAATTATGGACAGTGTATGAATGTATCGAACGCTAGTAAGGTGGTGAACAACAAAGGAAGTATCCTAGACTCGTTCTAGAATCGAATACGGTGATTCAGTTGTTTATTTCCGTTGACATAGCAGCACACGACCTTATCTCAGTTTACCAGTATCACACCACACAACTCAGCAGGTACTTCCAATATCGGAACAGCAACCGTCTCAACTCTACGCTCATCGATACAACGGCTAAATAGCCTGGCGTCAATTAGCTCGTGATCTTTCCTCACTCTCGTATATATCGGTTCATCATATGGACGCAGGTTCATTCCATTGTGGTGTTTACTGATAAATGGTGAAAATATGTTTATAAGAATGACACTGTCAGTAGGACTAAAAAACAGAAAACTGTACTATTCATCAGTTGTCAGGCTTTTACAGTTTAAGGTCATCTTCAATTCGGAATTCAGTTTTAAAGAGCTTGTGTATTTGTGCTTAAGCAGGCCGCACTGCCGAATTTTCGTCGCCATCTTTCATTTCTAATCGTTGTACTGCAATGTCACTTTATGACTTATACATCAATTAATGGCTTACATATTGTTTCTACTCGTATATTTTTTATTACTAATTAATATCGCGGGGTCCCTCCATTGACCGATTACATAGTATTTACGTAGAACTTTCTAATATTTATTTATATATATATTTTTTTGGTATTTCAACGGTTTGCTGCAGAATACTGGACATAAATGTCTATACTTACCATTCTTTTTTTCAACAGCTTCGGTGCCACACAACTGGCAGGAAATCCTCAAACGGCCGCCAAATTTCAACTTCAAGATCAGTCATCCCTCTCTAGATCCTATACAGATCTTAAATGAGGTCAAATTGAGGGTACGTAAACAGAGCTATTATGTACTGTTACATAGAACCTCGTTACGTTCATATTGGGGTTATACTCTGGTGTAGCAAATGTCTATTAATGAAAAACTAAACTTGAATGTGCGTCGGCTTGTGAGTTAAATTGTACTTTTTGAATTCGCAGAACCCGACGACGGATCAGGTCACAATTGCAGTGCTCTATAAAACTGCTTTGTCCCAAAAGAAGAACTTCTATTTAGTGAATCTTCAGCGAGCGAGGTCTTCTGCGGAAGCCTACCAGCGGCAGATGAAACAAGTGCCCAAGGTTATCATGGACCAGTTTGAGGAAAATGAATCCGCTGTCAGAATTCTCGATTCACTCGTTCCCAAACTTGAAGAGGTAAAATAGATTCAAAGTTAGTCTACTGGCAGGAATTTTGTAGCCTTTTCAATGTGGATAGAAAGTGCGCATCTTAGCGAATCAAAGCGAACCTTAGGCTGCCAACCAAATCCTGTGGAAATGGATGTGGTACACTACATAGAGCCTCTCAATTTATTTATCGTTGTCAGTGTCGTTTGCATTCTTAATTTTCTTAACTTAATGAGTTTCTTAATTGTTCGATAAAAATAATCGAGCAAATACTATGTGTTCCATCCTATGTATTCGTTGTGAAGACATGAATCGATTTTAGGAAAGATCTCTCAATTTCGATACGGTTTTAGGCAATTCAAGAAGCAAAGAAAGCGATGGCCATTGCGCGGAAAAACGCTGAAATTGCGCAAAATGCGGGCACCAGTCGCACACCTGTTGTCGAAATCAATGAGGTATATTTTAAGACAGTAATCTTAGTACGTGCAATTCACGTAATCAGCTCAAATGCAGTTGTTTGCTTTGTTATATTTGTAAAAATATTGAGAAAATGCATGCTGATTATGAATAGGGTAGAGTTTTTTGTCGAATATACTTGAGCGATTAAACAATAGCACTATATCAATCAAAGTCCTGCATATTTTTTTGAGAAGTAAAAAATTTAAGGAGCTGTTTTTCTGCGATTTTGCGGACCTACTTAGACGATGGATGACGACGATGATGTTCAAGTAATAGGCGAATCGTCAAGTGCCTCAGGTCGACGCGCAAAAGGATCATCTAGTGGGCCTATTATCGAGGAGATTGTCGATTGATTTTACTGAAGATACGCAATGCATACTAGCGTAGTTGGGGATAATGAACGGCCAGCAGAAAGGACTAATACTGGAATACTGGTCATAGGAGGCGCGAGTGGTCAGCAAGTGACAAAAAATTAGAAAGGTCACTACTAAATTGGACTAAGTACGCCATGTCTGCGAGAGCGGACGAGGCGTACTTAGTCCAATTTAGAAAGAACCGAGATTGTTTAGAAAAAGGAGATATGTATCTAAGTGACCGCATATTATCCTACGTAGTAATCACTGTTTCTATTACTACTATTCCAGCTACTAACAGTTAATCGATGCTAAATGAATATGGTCAAAATATGGTAAAGACGCAAACGACATACACAAGTGAAAATAAGAAGGCTGCGCAAGGTAAGCGATGTGTTAAAGGTGATTTTGCGGGGCTAAAAGAACGCGAAGATATAATCGTTATGTTATACAAATATAAACGCTGGGAATATTTTTATGTACTGCGTAAGTATTCAGTGTAATCTTGTCAAATTTGGAACGTGGGCTAAACCTTGGTCTGCAGAAAAGTGCAAAATTGGCCTGAAATTAGCCACTCATTACCTATATATGTATAGCTAGTAAAGATTTGAGCATGGAGGCACAGCAAAGTGACGAGCGATCCCGAAACGCGTGTTCGGGTGTGATACGGCCGACAAAAACATATGCTCATTCTTATAAAAATATTTGGTGTGAGAACGATCATCGTTGTTATGAATTGCCACCTTGCAATGTGTCCTCGACCACAGAGGTGCACCATCCGGCAAGTTAATCAATATTATAAGATAATAAAAAATAGTGATTTTAATAATGAAATAGGCTGTCGACGGGTACCTTGTGCTAAACGGAAATTAGATAAGCAAAACACCACACATGCTGAATACGAGTAATTCCTTGTATAGTTTAGTATAACAGAAATAATCATAAAGCTTATATACGATAAGTGGTCATACGAGATGTGATGTGTAGTAGTTTAAACAAGATCATCGACCAGAACTAGATATTTATAAATATATCATAACAAACAACAGGTCTATATCGCAAAGGAAAATAGTGTGATTCAGTTTTTATGCGATGTCACATGCTCGATGTACATCGATACGTATTTCCGGTGTGTACCCTGCAAACGGCACATCTTTGATACGGAGAAGGCACCCTCGAAATTATGTAATTTGCATCACAGAAAGAGAAATTTCATTCGATAACATTTTTGCGGGTATCAAGTATATATAGCATATGAGCGAACTTTATTCAGTTGGTATTAAGACATTTAATGGTAACCAAAATATCGTAAGTATTCTCTGTTCTTATAGGAAGGGGTTGAGTAAAGAACAAGTTCGAGGGTCTCAAGTATGAGTGTAATAGAATTCATCCATGTAAACATCTGTCAATGAAACCATTTCTCCCGGACTAAGACTAAAAGTTCAGAAAGCATCGATATTTGCCGTCAAGTGAACATTCATGCCGATGAAAGCTATTTAAAAAAAAAAAAAAAAATATATATATATATATATATATATGAATGAGATATATATGAATGAGAGAGCGATAGCAATCGAGAGAACACTCTCGTGAAATGGAGAATCTTACTGTGCGGATAAACTGAGTTGATGTGTGCGATATTGGCGTTACATTGATGGGGCTGTCTGACCGATATGGACGAGTCCGTCCCTAGTCGGCTCGGAAAATACAGTCTATAATAGCAATGACCGGCATGTTACATAGTTGGTATGTGGGTGTTGACAAGGAACGAAATTCAATATGTCATACGGAAGATTTCAGCTGTTCAGCTATAGCGGATAACTATAAGTCAGTGCATAAAATGACCACTGGATCAGTTGTTGTATATATTTAATACGGTCACTACAATTAAGAAATATGATGCATACACATTAGAGATCGTATCGATGCGTTCATTATCGTTGTGCGAGGTATATTTAATTGGGAACGAATGGGCAATAATTCTTTCGCAGTTTACGTTTATTGCACGAAAACCTTTCGTAGACGACGTGCAATTGCATGGGGGTATACAAAATGATGGGATGGTTGAAAAACTAGCAGACACGATAACTTGAACTAACTTCTCCCCCAGAAAACAAAAGCATGGGGTGAATTGTTTAGGTATCATGTAGAATGAGCCCGGCTCGCCCAGGTCATCTCCATTATATACATTGCTCTTTTGTAGGAGGTAAACCCGTTTGTGTTTGACTTCATTATTTTCAATAACACATAGATAAATATAACTAAATGGATAAATAAATATTTGTAAATATTTCGATTTCACATGATAATTTATCCTTTCTTCTCATATTTGCATTTGCAAGTGTCTAATTATTACACTATCAAAAACATGATTCCTTTATAAGGAAATGATCCTGTTTCATTGCTATCTCGAAAGCCAACAATACTATACATATCTGCAAGCTAGTGGACATTATCCTCCACGCCGCTGACGTACGTGGACATATATCTGTATAGTATATGTATGTGAGAGCAAAGCTAATAGCTTTCTTGTCCTTCCAGGCGATGGTGATAGTCCCGGAAAGGTTCATGCAAATTCGACTCGATTCCAATTGAGCAGGGGATTATGTGTTGTTGCAACACTAATAGTTATCTTCATGTAGGTGACGTACTAACCGTAGGCAATTTGTGCAATGTAAAAAAACGGGCGATTCTCGTCGAATTTTCAACCATAAAATTGGTATCTAACCTCTTTCGATGCCTAGCGACTTGCCGAAGGCCATCGTGCCTCCTTTTCTTTGCTGTTATTAACCAATTTCATCATCATGCGTGTGAGTGTGTACATTTGTACTGTATATTCATGTTAATACAACATATAAAACCGCTCTGTGTATACGGTGGTGCTTGTTGTATTTAATACTCCTTCATATAATTATACGACCATAACAATACATTTTTTTAGAGTTACTTAAACGTAGCATGCAAATGCGTAGCATGGCGCTGAATTGCTTCTGCCAGCTCCTTACAAAGTGAAGTCCCTTATTGCATGCTAATTTTTTTAATGGAAAGTTGCTATCAATAACCCCTGCTCGTAGGATATTTGCGCCAAGCTCTCATCTATATATATATAGTGCCATTTTATACTTGTCTGCTTAATTATGCCCTTCCACTTTGGAACTACGCCCATTGCGACAGTGTCTCTAACAATACAGCAACAACAACTATTATAACGATTTTTTTAAATATTTTACTGCCCGTGTGTTCCTATAATCCGGGAAAATTGTTTCCTGGTCAACGGGATCACTTGTCGTAACATGACGGGGCCGCTAACCACCACTGTGGTGTGGTGTAACGGCACTCTAATCGCGACTCCGGCTCTGTGTGTGTGCGTGTGTCTGTGTGTGTTTGTGTGTGTCTGTGTTTCTGTCTGATCGGCTAACTCCGGTGTAGACTCTGGTGTCGATGGTGATTATGACGGTTATGGCGAGAACGTGAATCCAGCAGAGATGCTTGGCAGTCTCGTGGCCTCATCGGAGAAGCAACCCTTTACCGTAGTGAAACGCGCAGACGGCGAACGCGTCTACGTCTGCGACGTATGCGGCTACGAAACTCGGTTTGTGATTCTACATTTATTCCAGGATTACATATATAGCTTCTGGGCTGTATAAGAGCATGCGTTTTCCTAGCAACAGCCTCATGGCACTAAATGCTTCGGTCCTCATGGATACAACAAAGACATACATATAAAATACCAGCTTACGATAACTGTGCTCATAATATTTATACTTCGAAGACATTCTGTAAAGCTTGTCGTCGCAGAGGCCTGATTGACCGTTTCCATTAACTGTTTGTGCACCGCAGATACAAAAATGTCGTTACTGACCACGTGCGAAAACATACCGGCGAACGACCGTTTGCATGTCCATACTGCTCGTTCCGGTGCTCCCAGAAGCCTAATTGGCGACGACACATACGACGAATACACGTTGGCAAGCCATACTACTTGAACGACCCCGGGTCACTACCCCGAGAGCGTGCGTCCCTTCTCGGAGCCGCAGCTCAAGCGGCGCGAAAAAGCCTCCTACAAACTGAATTCAGCTGCTCAATGTGCGAGTACACATCGAACGTTCCAGGAGCCGACCTTGTTCACATGTCAATGCATCTGAATGACACTATTTAATCTGATCTCGTAAACGATATTGTTCAACCCAAGTCATTTGGCCTCTGTTTTCTACGGACAGGGCTAGGTGTTTTCTCAATGGTTGGGCCGAGTTTGTTCGATAACTGTATTTCCACAGTAGCACAAACCGAAGCGAGACCAACTACGTACTACATGAAAAGAATCACAAATTATTTACACACCTCACACATGTTGTATCAGTCCGTTTTGGAAAGAGCTCAATACCCCTTGTTATATCATCGATCGTAAGAAGCCTGGTACTGTTTTCAACAGGTGTTGAATATTGTTGACAGCCTTCGACCTTAGACCGTAACACAAAAAGACTGATTGAGATAATATTATGTTGAGTGGCAAACACAACTTAAAGGTGTGGAGGCAAAGGACATGTTGTATATCTAATGTTTCCGACTCTGGATTTTGTTTCTCGTTGTCAGTCAACAACGCTAAGATCGGATCTTACAGGAAACCAGTCGAGAGAAGTTCTCGGTGCAGTACCATGGCAGTTCTTTGCAGATCAGATTCAACGAGGTAGAAAACACAGATTTCCATATTAGTTTTCAGTAAAGCGTATCTACGTACATATACTCTTCGAAGCAAAAACGATATAATTTACATCGGCGAGAGCATAAAGAACAAACAAAGTTTTTGTTGGAAGACGATTGAGAATGATGTATCTGAAGAGTGAGATGTTTCGTAAATGCCCGGTGAAAAGGAACGAATTCAGGACGAGATCCGTCTACAAGAACATCAGTGTTTTTCGTTGTGCAAGACGGACACAGAGATAAACAGATTGTAACTTTACAATTTATATCATATATTTTCATTAACTTCACACAGAAGATGCCGTGCATTTGCTCAGCCAGTGCTGTTTATATAGGTAATCAACAACAAATTGAAGAGAATATATTCATGAAGAAGGACATTGATTGTCAGGCCTCAACATATCTATGTCGGGTTTTGACTTCGTGTTCGAAAACGAATCTAGTCGATTGATTCCGGTGCGAACAAGTTCACACGTACTTTGTCTGAAGAGCTATTACGACTGTAACTTAATCTCAACCTGTAACTCTAATGTGACGGGTTTACATTGATGGCAAGAACTTGCCGTGCTCTCCGCCACGATACAATAAGAAAGCAGATGCTAGCGGTGAGAATTCCATTTCGTTTGGCTGTAGTAGCTGTCGTGTGGAATTCACAGATGTATCTCAAAGCCATTCATTTATATATACACATATTATATATATATATAGGAGACCACTATGGAAAAGTAAACCAAACACTTATTGACATTGATGATTATAAAGACATATCATATTTATAAAGTGAAAGGACAAACATATAGTCATATTATCACACAGAGGTCACTTGCTTGAGCGAAACTGACCATCACAGTATATTAACTCTGACATATATATATATATATATATATATATATATATATATATATAGCGCAAACCCGTATGGTTGAATGTACAATCAGCCTCGTTGGAAAATGTCGTCAAGAAATTATGGCATGTTCCATATAGTTGCAAAAAGACGCGGGCGACTTTTTGTTTACCTGATGACATTCCGCTAATTAGATGCTAAAATATTACCACCATCATCATCATTATTATTATTATTACTTGATGTCACGAATGGTGCGAATTTTCGAAACTGTACCAGAAATTCATGTGCGAAACAAAGAGTCAACGCGATACTTCGGACAGGTTGCCAATTAAAGCTTTTTATACATACAGGGTGATTTGAAAGTAACGCTTTTGTTTCTGAAGCATAAAAAACTAGAAGAATACGACAAAATTAAATAAACGTACTAGTGTTCAGTTTTTGATACAAACTTCACAACCGTTACATTTCTCCAACTACTGAGGAGGATCGCACGAGATCTCACGATCGGGATATCATACAACTAATATATTTTGATATTGCCATATATATTATATATAAATATATATATTTAATATTAGAAAAAATACGATGCGACATTATATTTTTAATTGGGGTAACTGCTGTATAGCAATTATAGAAACAGGTGTCATACACAATATAATGTCGTTAAGATGATCATAAACACCAACGAGATTGAAAGAAAATTTATATTCTAGTCGGCAGGAGAAGAAAGATATTTTCTAATGTACTGATTTTTCAATGAGTCGCGCCCATTTTGTCATATTTTATATCGAATAAATAAATATATAAACGCATTTATATTAATTAACAGTGTTGTGTATTCTTTGTGATGCAGGCCCGTACACCAACATGATAGTTCTTCTTTTGAGATCTACGTTAACAGCGATCTTACGCTGTCATATTTTATTGATATTTCTTTACCGTAGATTTGAACCTACGATGCCTGAATGAATGCTAGTGTATCCTGCTAAACCTGTTACTTTGTTCAAGATCAATATGAGCATATCCACGATGCACATATGAAGCCGGTAACATATAGTCGTGCGATAAGAAGCCGATTAGTGTTCTTTCTTTCTGACGCGTCGCTGAGATCTTGCTTTTGTTGACCGATGCCGCGTTTCCAAGTGAGAGCAGACATTTATAATGACTAGACGGTGAATTTTTCAGCACGAGAACGATTGGAGTATAAAAGCCGAAAAGAGTCAAGCGGAAGAAACCGCCTCATTGTTTCCTGTACATCGTCATACATAATTTCCATCACAAATTATGAGCAGACGCGCCCTTTCATAAGCTTTCAAGGAGGGTTGTGTTTGCGGTAGATAGAAAAAGATAGCAAATCCAGTGCAGCAGCTGGCTACAAACGCTGACCCTTAGGGGCCTGGTAAATCAACTAGTCTTCTAAGCTTTGCAATGCTCTAAACTTTTAAGGCTGTTTTTTTCCAGTTCAGATGACATACGAGCGAGTGATCATAATCGATCTAGTGAGATGCTATGCCAAACAACACAATGTCCATAGAGATACATATCTCTATGAAAATTGTGTTGTTGAGCACGTTGTTGTTGTCCAAGCCAAAATTAAAGCAAGTATTTATTATATATCAAAACAACATTATGAAACACATGCGCCATTTTAATCGATGACCTGGTGCCATTTTTCTGCTATAGAACTTTCCTGCAGAGACCGAAACAGCTGATAGCCTAATAGTAAGATCCGAGCCAAACGGTAACTGTATAAAAATTTCCCATAATTTTCACCAGGTCACATATGGTCTGACACGGTCATGGTGGAAGACGACGCCCCTTGCGTTCACTGGTGTCAGTAAATTTTTTCAGAAATTTGTTGTAATTTTCTTAGCTTTTTACAGTAGATGTCAAAATCAATTGTTTGGCCACATGGCAGCAACTGACAATACATGATTTCCTTTTAATACATCCAGATACATAGCATCACCTTCTTTAGTATCAGGCCGGGTTTTACCAGAGATAATGAAGCGTTGCACATATTGTCATTCATAATCCACTTTTTATTACCTGAAATTAACCGCCTTAAGAAGGGCTCAGTTCCGTCGCTTCGCTGTTACGTTGGTGATAACATGAAGGAGTGAATGGTTCTCCGTCAATTATTTTTAGCCGCTGTTTCACTACCGTCTACTTGTGAGAGTTTAGTTGCCCGGCGTTATTGCTCAACCTTCGCAATCATTTTCCATAGTTGACTGGGCAATATGAGTCTCCGGAATTTTCCGGAAAGAAGTAAGAGAACCATCTTTGAGCCGTTTGATCCGATGACGCATTGATCGTCGAAGAAAAGTTTTAACCAGCGTCTGGGTTTATAGTAATAAATTGAGCAAATTTTTGTAGAAATCTTATCTTTAAACGTTTCTTAAATCTGAATAAAGCTATTCCAACAAATTCAGTTATTTCAAATCTAAGCCTTCAAATGACACCAACGCCGACCTGAAGCGACTCTAATAATAACACGCAATGAGTGATTTTAACACTAGTTAGAAAAACCGTCATGCATGAACATTAGGTGGATGTTTTGGATAGGGTTAAGGCTGAAGCTATAGGTCAAAAAGATTCGGTGAATGCTATGACCCCTGATTTCAGTACAAGCGTTAATTCGAGCTGTCACATTAATGTTAATTACCGACTTTGGAAGAACATCCACATTCACTTTACTCTCGTGCAGTCAATTGCTTTCATCCGTGTCTATGGCTTTAACATGACGTACAATTGGTTGGCAGGTTACTAAGGCTCTAATAGTAGTTAAGCTTGCTTAATGTAAGCTGACCGCTGTTGAATATAAGAAAATTTACCAGTATATACAAACTGACAACATTACGACTCGGGTGTGTCCAATTTTTTTTCTTTCGACATACGGCTGTCGAAACATCAGCTTTGGATTGTACTTAAATCCAGGTTTCGAAGAGGACAAGCTTCACGTAATTGACGATGGTTTTCAGCGGATTACGCTAAATGGATTTTCAATGATTCACTATTGTTTGATATGTAACTACGCAACGTCTCTAAGTTGGTCAAGTATAAACAAGTTGTATAACAAGCTAACTTTGTGCACTCCAGTTGTTTAAGTCATGTTCTTTATTGTTATTATTCTTATTACTATACATTGTTATTATTGAAACACTGTTTTTGTCAGCGCTTGTCTGCTATCAACTCTGATGGAGGAGTTTCCCGTTTGAACGATTGGAGCAACGTCAAAATTTCATGTTTGCTGCCATGTGTAACGGTAAATAGCTTCTTCGCGAGACTGTAGCCTTTGTGGAATGCCTCGTAATCTTTACTACCTTTTTTGTTCCATCCTAATTTAGCCATAGCAGAACACATATAGAACATAATTGGCTCCATTGATAGTACGCTGTCGGCTCCTCGAAGACCACGAGCGCCAAGCAACAAGCTCTCCTGCATAAATAATGATGAGAGGTTAATTCGTGCGAGCAGAACTTATGTCGCTCCTGCAAATATCTTTTTCAGTAACTGCGGCAATTAGAATTTTCCGTATAAAAGAAAACTACCTCGAGATGGCCTATTTCATGGGTAGCAACCTGCATTCGAGTCAGCACCCAGAAATGGTAAAAGTCTGTCACGGGAATATCGCCGAACTTTTTTAAAACCTCTGTTCCACCTTCGTACCTGAAAACCAGCAAATGAGTACAACTTGCACAAGCCGCGTCTCTTATGGCGATGATAAAACTCTAGCCGTTGCTATAAAGCTGTTTCGTAATGTTTCAATGTTTGTTAAATAAAAGGAAGAGCTGACCCTGAAAAAGCGGAGAACGGTAATCCTCCTAAAACTCTGAGTATACCATAGACAATACACTTAACATCTTTAACCTAGTGATTTAATTAACCTAGTAATTCGAAATATCCCCGTAGCCAAATTGGTACCCTAATGAAAAGAACATACGATAGTAAAGACAGATACAGCTAAAACAGAGATGTCAGGAGCCGGCTTACCATTCCTGCATTGTTTTCTGTTCAGTGAATAGCGTGTCAATTTCAGCAGCGAGCTCTTCATCGCATTCCCTTTTCTGACGTTCCTCTAATGGCTGACGGGCATCGGTAACACATCGTGAGCAACTACAAAGGAAGAAGTAGTTGTTAAGCGTCAACTTCCGCCGTCTTTCGTACGGCAACGTTGTTGGCATATACTGCACCTTCAGTGTACCCGGATCTTTCAGCGTAAATTCTGCCATTGATCTGTAGAGCCAAACTGATGGTTAATTTCCTATAACTTGGCGCGGCACGCTTCACTATCTCATTATATAAGCCAAGTATAGTTCAGTCGTTCAGTTAACACAATCGTATCTCAAACCGACTTGGGTCTCGACGCCGGCCGAAGGTACTACTCGAGTACTCGGCTAATACGAGCTCGACTAACTCATACGTATTTATATTGGGACGCGTTCAAAGAGAGTATATCTATTAGATGTATTGACCGACCAGCCACTCCGACGTCAAAGCCCCTTCGACTAAGGTCTTACTCCGAAAATGTCCTATTAGATGGAGATGACCTTAGCGTATTCGACGAAAAAAATTTGCGGCGCGAAATATTCAAGACCGACCTTTTTGTTGCAAACGAACGCTCATTCGGCTTGTTTTTTTACTCTTTATCTACTTCTTAGATAAATAATATATCGTACGTCAAAACCCGTCAAACGACTATTCAGAAAGATCTAAGAGTACTGAACTGTAGCTCTCGTTTTTAAAAACTGCGGTAATCTTGGCATTGTTTATAATAAATGAAATACTTCAAATGTTCGTTTTTTCGTTTTTGTTATAGCTGGCTTTATCTTATCTAAGGCCAAAGATTAACATGATTGATGATTTATCGATATTCGATCTTTACCTCTTGATGACTTTTCAATCAGTTTTAAGTTTCCTCTCTCTGTCATTAGCTATAATTTCTTTTCAAAGAACGGCCACAATGCAGCGTTTATAATAGATCTTTGAACTTCTACAATGATATTCTCCCACTTACCTGAGTATAAAGCGGCGCCCGTCAAACATGTAAGCGTACTCGTCCGTATCCTCACAAGTGTGATCAACCGATGACGCTGCAAGATAAAGAGCGCGCCCCCGACTGTAGAAATTCGGATCGTTGTGGTCCATTACGCAGTAACTGTTTATGCGGCATTTCATCAACAGCTCCATTGCAACATCATAGTCAATGTCTATGTGGTTTTCAATAAGAGTCATTAGCTCGTCGACGCGTAAGTGGATCTAAAACAAAATTTCAAGCGCTTGGCCCATAAGCAACGTATTTTTACTTAGGCTATGTGCCACATACAACTATACGTTTCGATATTCATTCAGATGTACATATTCTTTTGAAATATTTCGATTGTCGACAGATAACTGCTGTTAAATGTCTGGCGGTCTAGGGCGTTTCGCGACCAAGCGGGCATTAATGAGAATAAGCTTTGGATCAACAAAGAAATGAATATCTAATTAACTTACCGAAGTAAGTTCTTCCTCATTGAGATCACCGACGTGGGACAGTAAATCATCGATTGTGCGTTTGCGGCCAAAGAAATCCCCTACAGTGGGGTTCCCTTTTTCCGCTAGGTATCTTGTTATGGTCCGAATGACCAGGCGCAACTCCTCATCTGGAAGCTCCTCTTCCGCTGGTAAAATACAACATTCATAGTAGTGGTCCCTGTAGTCAGATTCCTGATCGGACACCAAGGTTTCAAATAATAATAGCATTTATAGGAACAATTTCAGTACGAGACTCCAGCATAAGATGTACTAAGCGGCGAAAGATTGCTTATGAGTAAATCACTATAGGCGACTGAAATGTGATAAGAAAATATGGTCGTTTTACTATCATCTGAATTCACTCGGAAATCATTCATAGCATGTTCTTTACCAAAATTCAATTCCAGTTCAAACAGAAAGCAGGAGCCCTATATTCACAAACGATCCATACCAGAAGCATCAAACCTTATTTAATTTTTAGGGATTTTAGACGGTGGTACAATGATCAGACTCTAGGATTCTGTCGTTAGCATAGTCTCCGCTGTGAGGTATGTTTCGTTTAGGATTTTGACGTGGAGATTCAAAATGCAACAATGTGTTTTTCTGGTCCCGTTTTTGCCTATTATTTACCTTACACTCTTCACTGCAGTAGACAACTTTCTGACACCCGCCGCATAGTTCAGTGGCTGTCGAGGAAAAACATAGGGAACACACATACGATATGCTATCGGAACTCACGGAAGCCGCGTACGGCAATTCATCTAAAATTATGTCGCCCGGGCGATAGCTAATTCCCGTCGGGGCAGCTGGCATCTCTTTAAACTTCCTATTCCACCACTGTGATAATTCGTAACGATATTTTTTTCGATCAAAGATTCCAAACCAGTTCGTTATCATTCGTAAAAACGGAGACCTTATCCAGCTCGTCATTCTGCTAGCACAAGAACTTCAGATCTGAATTTGCTTAATTTCGACAAGACGACGTGGTTTGAGGTCCAGTGAATTTTTCCACACCTCGCAAATTGTTTTGTTATCTAAACTAATCCGTATTGATGAATAAAAACTGTTCTAAGGTAAATCAGTGCGGAAGGAAAGCAACAAAAGTTTAGAGATGATAGCATTGTTAACTAGTAACTACAAATTTTGTCGTATACGTTGTCGTACAAATTGCATCATCGTCAGTATCCTCGAGGTCGGTATCTATAAATGCTAGTTATAAACATGTCACACGTTTTACAGGACACTGATTCATCCCGTAACACGTATTTCTAACATTTCTAGAGATGTTAGGCTAGTCTATAGATGAGCTCAAAATCTTATGTCTGCTAAGAACTTAATTTAAGTTTTGCTCAAGTATGTATAGTATGAAAGGGGAACGTGACTGTAATGCCGTTTTTCCGGATGCAGGCATAGATCGCGAACAGTCAAGGGTAGTGCTGTTTCCGATTAGCGTTACAATCGAACACAAGCAAAGGGTAATAAAAGCATATGACAAGTAAGCCATGATTATAAAACAGTCAATAAATCCGTGATCCGTGAAAAATAATCTCGCCGTAAAAACAGCATCGTACGGAATGAGATGTGTCAGACTATTTGGATCCTTGTAAACTTGGTCTCAATGTATGGGTTCGATACGTAACTTAAGTATGTCATACCGCAGGTTTCGAGATTTAGGAGCATATTAAGGAGTCGCTGAAAAATGTTGAAAAATTCTTAAGAAGCTTTCACATATTTCATTTCTACCTGTGCGGCCATAATTGGAAGATATTAAACTAATAGTTACTAAAAAATGGCTGGAGGTCTCTCAATTGCAAATCGTCTTGCAATATGAAGTTTTACTAGCTAGCTTTACAAACACATTTAGCAGTCGCACTTGCATGATAGCCTGATGTTACGAAAATATACCTTATTTCGATTAACTAAGTTTATTCGTGTAATTAGAACATTAATAATTATGCTTTAATAAAATAATTTAATTAAGCAAACGTCTAGCTATCGCGCTTGAAAAATATCGAGGGTTCCTTGTCTAAGAAGTATAATTAGGTGCAGTACCCGCGTGCAAAGTCTACCACAGGCGATGTAACTACAGCATTTCGGTATCTAGTCCTGATAGGACTGTAGCCATATTTAATAGTACGCATGTTCTGTTCTAATTTTTTCGGTCATTGTATTAAGTATCGCTTGGAAGCAGTTTTACCTAACGAACCAACGCCGAATGATAACGAAGCTCATCGACCTTTCAAGGAAAAGTGGTCCCTGTAGAACAATTCGAACTTGACATTTCTCTACGATTAATGATGCCGTACATCTATCGCGCTGGGGATGTCATCCACGAAGATTTGCCGTACGCCGTAGCGGTGAATTTAGAAAATGCCGCTTATATATGTTCATACTGTTACGCGTCCGATGCCGAGATGAAGTGCACGGGTTGTGAAAAATTGGTCTATTGTAACGACGAATGCAAGGTGATCCTTCGAAGAAAAAAACATTATGGAAATGTTTTTTGGTTTGAGGTGATGGTTAAAGTGAATAGCTTAGGTTTCTCTAGAAAAATATGAGGTACTGGCATTTGAGGTATCTTACGATGGAGAAAGGCCTCAGTTTCGTTTGTCGACAGTTCGTTGAATTTAAACACAAGAAATTAATACTTAACATCTCAATTGAATTATAAGTTCAGTGTCTTTATATAACAGAATCAGGATGCGGTCGATCACAACCTCGAATGTAACATACTTCTGAATTGCGATGAGCTTCCGGATGAAGAGTTGCGACTGGTGATTCGAGCTTTGGACAAGTACGTCAGAGAAAGAGATAACCCAACAGTTGGGGATTTCTTCGGCAGTAAACGCACCATGGATGATCTCGTGTCACATATCGATGATCTTAATAGTACAGATCTGGAAGAGGTAAGCAAAGAGCTTTTCCACATCGCTATCAATCATGTTATGCCCAATTGACTCAGTTAGCTTTTACGTTTAATTAGCGTCGAAAGTAAAAGCTTGTTCATCTGTTAAGATGCAAGCCTTTCGATGGAAAGTCGGGGAATCAGAAACGGTTAGTAATCAAAACAATGGGAGTTATCGCCCGTAATTTCGCTACGGAAAGGAGTGAGCGGAAACGCATAACTAGAGCTGTTATGGCCACATATGTTCGAGACTACATGATGTCGAATAACGTTGCCAGTTAAACCTTATACAAGACGACGCACAGTGCTTCATGAACATATATTTCCGTGATGATCTTTGACACTTTGAAACTTGGAAAAAAGATAGAACTAAACTTGATGATCTTTGAGAGCTAAATCTACCAGCCGAGTTGACACAACACGTCCAGGATTCATTTGTTGGTCGTAATGACCAACAAATGAATCCTGGACGTGTATTATGTTTCGACGCTTTGGCGCCTAGGTATTGTCTGGTTTCTGACCTTTCCTTCACATTTTGTGATAGCTGATAAACAGTAAACTTGCGCTAGACCAGCGCTACATGTATGTAGCGTTTTCAACTGCTAAAAGCACGAATTAACAGGACGAATTAACCAAACCGTATTCGAGTAACTCTTCGTAACGTATTCGAGTAATATAATAATAATAATAATTATTATTATTATTATATAGAGATAATAATAATAATAATAATAATAAATTAAAGCGTAGCTTGTGTGAGCATTTGGTTTTGCTGTATTTTATGAAATATTAATAAAGGACGTATTCTTCAATACAGAAATTCACTCAGCCGAGGATCTTGGATCGGTAGAACCATTTGCTTTTTGTGGTTGGTTTTTTCGGACCTCCGTTGGCTATTCAATGCCATCCGATACCCTTTCCGTGACAAACATTATTGCTCCCAGCCTGTTAAGGCGTCGCTTGAAATAAACGGCTATAGGGTGACATTGAATGACTTTAGATCCTGTCTGCGGATTTCAAGTAGTACCAGTAGTACACTATATTTGGTAGGGGTCATGAGGCCCAACACGTGTACATTAAAGTTTCCGTAGAAGTCCCAGAGCCGGAAGTTGAGTCACTCCTGGCACCTGAGAACAAGGCAAGGAGCGAAGGAGCAAAGCAAAGAATAATTATTGAACGCTTGCATGTTCAGGAGTGTAATAAAAGCCCCACGCTATTCTTAAACACGCATGTGTACTTTTCTGTAGCAGTAGTGCAATGGGTTGCTCCACAAGGTGCTGTCTTGGAGCATATTCTAGCAGCAACTGATAGGCCTTAAAGGACAGTGTTTCTTGACATTCGTTATTAATCTGTAACTTTTCAGCGCTAGTGTCATTTATGTGAACAGCGGCCTCCGCGCCAAACGTGCTTACTGTGAAATAAGCATGTTGTATTTTAACAAGCTTTTAACGAGGAACAAACATGTTACCATAACTAAGTATTAAATGTATGAAAGTATCAGCTAGAGTAAACGGGTATTTCTCCGCATCAGAAACATCACAACAAACTTTCCTCCTGTTGTTTGGCTCTATGCGTCTACGCGCAGGTCAACGCCCGTACATCAGAGCTGTTAGCCCTATTGGAAGGTCGGTTAGATGTGGGCCATAGCCAAGTGCTGAAGATGCTTATGAAATGCCGAATCAACCGATATTGTTTGATCAATCATAACGAGCCGACTTTCTCAACCCGTGGCCAAGTGGTTTACCTAGGGGCTTCAGCTATCGATCATTCGTGTGTGATTGATGAGACTTACACCTACCTCTTTGACGGACGCCGAATTATTCTCAGGTTAAAATGGGTTTTTTCTCGCAGGCTTAATGACGACACTGACAGGCAGTATTAAACAGTCAAATACCAAATGCAGTTCTTTCTACAATATGGTAACCTGACCTTATCAGTAATGGGTCATTTCAGCCCTTCTTGTATCTACTAAGCGATGTGTTTTAATCTATAAAAGGTCAGTTGTTTTTAGCGTCGTCTAGCGTGCGTGGATTACAAAGCACAAAAATTGAATTAAACATTTTTGTACAAACAAAATTTTAAGGCTAGTACATAATAGAAAAATAAGACAAAACTGTAGTATAAAAATCTATCGGCCATACGATGCGGCCTAAGGTTCTAACATCCACCTTTATGGATGCTGTATTTGCGTAATTATTACAGGGCATTGACCGATTTTACTCTGGATGACCCTAAGAACTTACGGATCCATTACTTATCTTCCCAGCTGCCGTATGATCAACGGCGTTCGATGACACTGGACACATATTTTTTCGTGTGCAGCTGCGAAAAATGCGTGGCTCAAGCCCGATGTGTCGAACAGGATCCGGAGTTGAAGGAACTTGCTGATCAGGCTAGTTCCGAAGTTGACGCGCTGTACCAGTCGACTTTAACGACATCTGAATGGTAAATTGTTGAGGAACTTAACCGACTTTGCTTTGATTTCGGTTCAGTAACTTGGTGGAGCGAAAATATCTCACGGGAGATTTCTAGTAAAAGAAAGAAACAAATAAAGTACGATGTCTATTTTACAGGTATAATGAGGGCATGGCGATACTGGAAAAGTTCTTCGAAAAGATCCCGGACGACTTTGCCCTGTTCTGGCTATTGACCCAACTTCAGAATCAAGCAATCGAGCAGGGCTTTCTAGAGGTAATAATTTGTTTCAACACGGACCATTCGGCTTTATGCTTGTTGCACTTATATAAGTAGAAAAAAACATGTAATTACAACACGATTTCAAGTACATACTCTGGCGTCATCTCGAAGCTAAAATAATTTTTCTTCTAGGCGAGCCTGACTCATGGAGCTAATGCTTTACGCTCCGCTAATACAGTTCTATCGATGGAACCGATTTTATTCAATCTTTGTCTTGCTATGGCTAAGCTTGGCTGGAACAAAAGAAATGATAAATGCTACGAAACTTTCGTTGAGGGGACAAAGCTAGCGTCAAAATTATTCACCGTTTCTCACGGGTCAAAACACTCAATAACCGAAACACTTCAGTCGTTCAAAGATGGAACTTACTTCGATTGAAGCATAAGCGCTACGTATGTGGAGAAATAAACTATGCGACTGCACATGACAATCATATTATTAATGATAAACTGACTTTAAAAAAGATAAAATAAAACAGGATCAGAAAAAATTTGAAAAAAAAAAATAGCGGCATAACTTACGTGTACATTGGCGTAATAAACGTAGTGAAAGTTGGCATGCACGCTACGATAAATTACTACGATAAAAGAAACTTATCGTTCAGGGTACTGGGTATTTTCCGTAATCCGTAAATATCTTCAAACATGAAATACTGAATGCGTTCATAAGGAACGTGTCATGCGTGTGACACGTTCCTTAAAACATCCCCGCATGCTACTCATTAGTGAAATCGATAACCTGCTTTTGTCTCAGAGTTTCATTATAATAAATGAAAATAAGAGATTTTCCACGTCAGTAATAGAGTAGTTATCAATGCTGCCTTGTTCGTGACTCGTGTGTCAGACAGTAGATCTGCCACCTGTCACAAAGGAAATATCTAGCTTGTTGACTTACATTTCTACTAGCTATTTGCGACCGCATTCGTGTCTCCTGTGACGTTCATGTCTTGTATTCTAAGGGTGTAGCGTGTGTTGCTGCGGCACGTTCTGACGGATACTGGCTCAGTCCTAACATTCCCGAGTTCGTCCATCGCCCTTCATATAATCCGTCCATGGAAGGTCCAGGCCTGGGGATATTGTACGACAGTCTCTCAGACTTTTATTGCGCCCAGAGTAACAGCCACGGTGCGCGCAACGTCTGTTCTGCGCCATTCCTATCCTGTTGTGTTCGTAAATAAGCAGGAGGGGCCGAGAGACATTTTCCTGTCAATGAACATGGCAGCAGTTTGGGGGCTTTGCAAATATGAAACGCCACATGTTATTCTCCTGCTTTTTAGATGTTGATTACGGTGACGTTCTGCTCGGAATACGGGCAACGTCTCGTTCGCGATTGATTAAGCCATTGATGACTTATAACTATAATGAAGCACGACATGGTGTCATTTCAACAAACAAGTTGTGTTCAACAACAGCGACCTGTGAATGATCTTGAAACACAGGTCGTATCGACCCGATTACAAGCATTTGTACAATGAGTGACAATGAGTACCACAAGTGAGTGTCGAGTAACGATTTCACACACAAGGAGTTATGCGTATCGTGTGGCCTGCGGAACGAAGGCGTCATTGAACGATTTTTCTTCAGAACTGTACGCGGAACAGCAGCGACGATCAATGGCGAGCTCTATCGTCAAGCGAAATGAGGGCATTGGATGCGACAAATCTGTCATATCGCTGAGGTTTGAATTGCGCGGCAAACAATCAGCCTGCTTCGAGCCAGGTTCTAAAGTTTTGCTGCGAAGTAGTAGCACTTAACTTACCATCTACAGTGGCTATATGCTTTTTGTAGATCCATGTTAAAGACACTGTATATAAAGCAGCGCCAAAAAACCCATCCACCCGAAGCGATGTATTCGTCGAACGGTTGGTAGAATCATCCATACTGGAAGTTCCGTCATCGAGAATTGCGCGGATAAAGAGAACGATCCGTGGGGGATGAAAAATAAACTTGGGATATATATATCTCTATAGTAGATGGCACTGTGGTTCAGTCTGCACTAGTTGAATCCTGAGTCACTTGGATTTCCTCCATGTTGCTCTAACGCGTATTTGGAATCCGGAGGCGGATTCTCTGCTGCATGTGCTGTGATATCAGACGGATTTTTTGTGATTTGTAAGAAGAATTCTCATACGCGCTCATTTCGCGATAATTCTGAAACCCAAAATTGAGAGTATCAAAGTTACTCTTTGTAAATCAAGAGAATCTGCACGATATATTGATACGTTATTTCAGAAATTAATTACATTTCATCTCCATTATCGAATAACTGCACAACAAAGTTAGCTGGAAGAGCCATACCTCACGCTGAAAAACGCGTCCAACCACTGCCTGCTGCCGGACACTTCTTACAATCGCCATAGAGAACGTACGCGCAGGAGCAAGCTGGAAATCTTTCCAAGTCCTAGTACAACTCATTGCAGAAATACGGACGTCGTCTCCCGGTAGTTTGGCAGCCTTCGCCGCCTACCAGGCTTTTAGGCTGTTCTGCGCTTTGTGCCTAGCCTGTTCTTTAGCCAAATGTAATCTAACGAATACGGCTCCTTTGCCTGGTAACAATATCATTAATATTAATTCCTAATTAAAAAATGTACAGCGCCGGGGATACCACGATGGCTGAAATGCTGCTGCCCGGCGGCGATATCTTGTTCCATGACTCTTTGTCTTGGTAAGGCGAGACACCAGTGAAGCCAGGACGAGCGGCTGATTAACTGAGCGAGCGTTCCAGTAAAAAATAAGCTGACTCGCGCGTTTAAGACCCAGCGGAAACGCAAAGTTTCGGGGGGCGCGAAGCTCAGGCAAGAAACTTCGTCGAGTTAGCAGGAGAATTATAGAGAGAAAGTATAGGAAGCTGGCAAAAAGGGACAGGAAAGCAACATGAACAAGTTCAAGTTAGAGGAGCTCCACAAGGCTCTGACTGCTTACATGGTTGCCCTCGGACGAGGCCTATGCGCAGGAGGATCATTGTGGAAGGCATGAAGGAAAATGGGAAAGGGTAATCGCCCGACTCCCGTTTCTCATGGCCAACCATTATGGCCGGGAAGAAGGCGCGGCTAAAATAATGGCCACTGTGCTTAATCTATGCGGGAAGTTCTCAAGTCAGGCTTACGTTACAGCCTCTTCAAAATGTAAGATACACTAGGCTCAGAGGGCACGATTATTTTCAAGTAGACGGTCCAGTCGAAGAGTGATGGCTACTTTACTTAACAATGGAAGTTTGTCACTTGAATAAAATGAAACGTCTTAAAGGCACGAAAATGAAGGTGGGCCAGATTCCACCATGGATCGATACGAACGATTGTTCTGTCATTTATTTATATAGATTCGAATCAGGACTTCCGGCCATTGACTCTCTAACGACGCCTACTTCTTCAAGAAAGGAAGTGTGCGCTAGTACAAAATTTGCTAAACGCATTGAGAGAAGTTCAGTGCGATAATGACGGAAATATTCGTTTTCGGCGTCTGTCAGCATAAGTAAGTTTTTGATATTAATTATATGATGCACTTGTGGAGATTACGGAGACAAAGACACTCAAGTCACAAATTTCGATTTGGTCTGAATTGTTTGTCGAATTTCGAAAAGGTCGAAATTATCCTTCAAACCTGAAATTTTACTGCCCTCTCATACGCGTCGATTTTCAACTCACCTCTTCGATGATCATGTACGAAGTACACTTTTTACGAGTTTGCGCCCATTACGCAAGCATGCGCTAACACCTCGTTATGTTTCTTGTATAGAGGCACAAAAACAAAAAAAAAGGGCGTTGTCATCTCCTGCTATTATCCGCTATTATTGAAGGATTCGATGTATTCCACGGATAGGGCTTTTGCTGTAATATCAACCCTAAAATAGAGCGCGTCCAGGTGAGGTACCCACGAGATGGACGCGTGCGCAGTGGTGCGTTCGTACAAGTTCGTTCAGGCTACGAGTCACCCAGTTAACGTAATCGGCTTTCCACTGCACTTAACCCTACCTAATGGTGGCAGGAACCACGAAGAAGCAAGTCCGATTGCCGATCGCGCACATGAAGACCAAGCCCTCGGAATGGAACCAGCTGGTAGTCTACAAGCAGAGCGAAAAGCGCTATTGTGAGTAAGTTCAAACGAAACAAAATCTGTATGACGAACTACCACCTGAGTTACTGTTGACGCTTCTGACGGGCTAACGCCGTCAGCATTTACTTAGTCCAATTATTTAAAACTGGCATAGTGGCATCAGGAAGTGCCAATTGGCTTGATACGTTGCCTGTCGCAAAAGAAAAAACAACGTTATGAATTATCTAAGTAAACAAGGGGACCAACTGGCTATTTTACCGGTGACAAAACGCTACAAATATATATAGCTGTTCGCTCTAGACGATTTTTTTTAAAATCAACACCAGAATTTCGTTCGCCTTTAGCCTACGCGTACAATTCGTAAATTACTACGATATTTAGGAAGGTGTATTAAATCGGATGAGTATGCGTGGCGCGCTAGTGGTTAAAAGTTGGACGACTCCTTTTTCTGGAACCCTATTTTCGACTGGATGTACATATGCTAAGTTTAGTAGTTGGCTAAGAGAATCCCTGGTACGCGCAAGAGGACGGGCCCAGACAGCTTCGGTGCCGGGAGACCCATCGGAAAACATCAGGCGGTCTGGCCGGTGCAAAGACGATAACGACGACATACTAGTAACTGGAGGACGTGCTCTCGACGAACCGAGGGTCGAATGAAAGTCTCATCTGCTAATCCACTCAATCGGCTGAAAGCAAAAAGCCTCCCGCTGTCTGGTCCACCCCAGGGCCCATAGATATTTGCTTTGTGAATTCCGTTGCTCCTCCCGTCTCACCCCCTCCAAGCTGGACTCCAAACGGTGGTGACATTTTTTGTTCAAATCGGTTTAAAGAAAGGACGACGGTCTAAAAGGACGAAGTAGCAGGGAAGGGATTCTAAGCGGAGTCGATGGAGGGCACAAGGGGGTACGCACAGCTACAACGTGTTAGACCGCGTACACTGATGAGTTAGATCTGACAGACGAGACGCTTACAAATGAATAAAGAAAAATAAGTAATGAGAGCTGAAAAAATAGTTTGCTGCCAAATTGTGATTGACGTATTATTAGTTGAGAGATCTAAGACGGACGTCAGTGTAGAATCAATTGGTAACCAGTGGAAGACTGTAACTGTCTTCTCTGGGGATTTGTTTAGCGCCACATTATCAATTTTTTCACTCAAATGATAACAAAAAAAAGCTTTTCCAATGTATTCGTTATACTTGCAATTGTTTCGGTAATGAAATTCTGATTAATTTCGGTTAAGTTGTAATTTAATGTTCAATTGGTAAAATGAAACGCTTTCTTACCATCGTGGTTTCGCATGTTCGGTTATTTTCTTTAAGGGTAATGGTTTTTAAAAGTATATGGGGTGAACTAGATAAGAACAATCGCAAACTTTACAACCCAGTACGTATGATATTCTGATCTAATAAAACATGTGTGACCTAACAGGGTAAAATCTTCTAAAATTGAAATCAG